ATTATTTTTTTAAAGATTTATTTTTATTGGAAAGTCAGATATACAGAGAGGAGGAGAGACAGAGAGGAAGATCTTCCGTCTGACGATTCACTCCCCAAGTGACCACAACTGTATTACTGCACCAATCTGAAGCTGGGAGCCAGGAACCTCTTCCAGGTCTCCCATGTGGGTGCATTGTCCCAAGGCTTTGGACCATCCTTGACTGCTTTCTCAGGCTACAAGCAGGGAGCTGGATGGGAAGTGGGGCTGCTGGGATACGAACCAGCACCAGTATGGGATCCTGGTGCATTCAAGGCGAGGACTTTAGCTGCCAGGCCCTAAAATGATTTTTTGATATAAAAGGTTTATTTATTTGTTTATTGGGAAAGCAGAGTCACAGAGATTGGCTAGTCACTGTTTCACTTGCCAAATGGTTGCAATAGCTAGCACTGAAATGACCTGAAGCCAGGAGCTTCTCCCAGGCCTCCCATGTGACTTGGGCTATCCTTCACTGATTTACTGTGCACATTAACGGAGCTGGATTGAAAGTACAACAGTCATGATTTGAACTGGTACACATATAGGATGCCAAGGCTGTAGGCATCAGCTTTACCTGCTGTGCCACAGTGCTGATCTGTTAACTGACTTTATTTGAAAGGCAGATTTAAAGAGAGAGAGAAAGGCGGGGAGAGATCTTCGATCTGCTATTTCACTCCCCAAATGGCCACAATGGTCAAGTCTCCCAGGCAGATGCCAGGAGCCTATGAAGTTGGGTGATCTTCCACTGCTGTCCCAAGTACTGCAGTGGGGGGCTGGATTGGAAGTGGAGCAGCTGGGATCAAACCTGCACTAATATGGAATGCTGACACCTCTTTTTCTTTTTTTTAGATTTGTTTATTTATGTTTATTTATTGAGATTTATTTCTTTTTATGGGAAAGGCAAATCAATTTAAGGAGAGAAAAGGAGACAGAAATATCTTTTATCTACTGGTTTACTATCTCAATGGCCAGAGCTGAGCCAATCCAAAGCTAGCCATTTTCAGGATCTCTCACACCCAGGAAGGATCCTAAAGCTTTGGGGCATCTTCCACTGCTTTCCAAGGCCAGAAGAGGGAGCTGGATTGGAAGTGGAGCAGCAAAGACATGAATTGGCAGCCATACAGGATCCTGACATTTGCAATGGGGAGGATGTTTGGCTAAGCTTGAGCATGAGTCAGGAAGCAGCTTGAGTAATGGATCCCAGACCTCTGCTCCCTCTGGAGCTCCTGGAAGCCCACCCCAGGATGGCTGAGCCGTGGGAGTGCTGAGGGATGCTGGTGTTAATGCAGGAGAGCAGCCTTCTTCAGGTTCTCACTTCCCAGTCTCCCTCCGTGCACGCAATAAACGGTTATCCCAACAGCTCCCAGCCCCGAGGTGTTCCTTGATTCCCTATATAAATGTTCCTGGTACCACTCCCCTCCCCCCAAGTTGTCTGGTAGAATAGGACTTTTTTTTTTTAAAGATTTATTTTTATTATCTTTTAATTGGAAAGGCGGATATACAGAGAGGAGAGACAGAGAGGAAGATGTTCCGTCCAATGATTCACTCCCCAAGTGAGCGCAACGGCCAATGCTATGCTGATCCGAAGCCAGGAGCCTCTTCCGGGTCTCCCACACGGGTGCAGGGTCCCAAAGCTTTGGGCCGTCCCCTACTGCTTTCCCGGGCCACAGGCAGGGAGCTGGAAGGGAAGCAGGGCTGCTGGGATAGAACCGGCGCCCATATGGAATCCCGGGCGTGCAAGGCGAGGACCTTAAACACTTGTGCCACTGTGCCGGGCCCAGAATAGGACTTTGGTAAGGACAGATTTGTGTTAGGTGTAGGGTTTTGTGGGGCACAGCAGGTGAAACTCCGTGTGCCCTGCCACATCTTTCTTTGAATGCCCTTGATCTGGAACTTGGTCCTGACTCACACTTTCCCTCCTTTGGGAACATTTATTTATTAAGGATGCCACCAGGTGCCAGGCACTAGGGCTGGAGAGTGGATAGCCCCCTCAGGTAAACTTGTAAAGAAGAGCCCTCCTTGATGAAATCATTACACATTTTTAGTGGTATCGTGCTGTAACAGACTTACAAAAAAATTTGACATATTTAAAGTACAAAATCTGGTAAGTGCTATGATGCATACAGCCAAGAAAACATTACAGAATGAAAACAATGAGGCAGGCCCCTAGCACAGGGGCCTAGCAGATTAAGTCCTCACCTTGAACACGCCAGAATCCCATACAGGCGCTGTTTCTAATTTCGGCATTCCTGCTTCCCATCCAGCTCCCTGCTTGTGGTCTGGGAAAGCAGTGGAGGACAGCCCAAAGCTTTGGCATCTTGCACCCATGTTAGAGACCAGGAGAAAGTGCCTGGTTCCTGGCTTTGGATCAGCTCCGTACCAGCTGTTGGGATCACCTGGGGAGTGAATCATCATATGGAAGATGCTGTCTGTCCCTTCTCCTCTCTGAATATCTGACTTTTAAATACAAATAAATAAATCTTAAAAGAAATGAGGGGCAGCATGGTGGCTCAACAGGCTAACCCTTCTTTCTGTAGCAGCAGCATCGCATATGGGTGCCAGTTGGTGTCCTGGCATTTCACTTCCAATCCAGGTCCCTGTTAGTGGCCTGGGAAAGCAGCAAAGGATGTCCCAATTCCTTGGGACCCTGCATTCATGTGGGAGACCCAGAGAAATTTCTTTCCAGCCGGCAGGCTTGGTCTTTGCAGCTACTTGGTGTCTGAAGCAGTGAACAGGAGATGTTCTTTTTGTAAATCTTTCAAAGAAAAATGAATATATAATTGTATTTACAAATAATTACAAAATAAGTTGCCTATTCTTGATCCTTCTCTGCTGAAGATTTGTTTCTGTATATTGGAAAGGCAGATTTACTGAGAGAAGAGACAGAAAAATCTTACATCTGGTGGTTCACACCCCAAGTGGCAAATATGGCCAGAGCTGAGCTGATCCTAAGCTAAGGGTCAGGAGTTTCTTCTGGGTCTCCCACATGAGTGCATGGTCCCGTGCTTTGGGGCCTTCCCTGTACTGCTATTCCAGGCTACAAGCAGGGAGGTGGATGAAAAGTGGAGCAGCCAGGACACAAACCAGTGCTCACATGGGATCCCAGTTCATACATGCCAAGGATTTAGCCATTGAGCTGTTGTCCTGGGTCCTAAAAAAACATTTTTTTTTTTTTAAAGACACAGTGAACATCTCCATCACTGCCATGTGTCCCCAGTGAGACCTTTATTTCATCATCCTGTGTTCCTCCACTCACAACTACTGGAAATTGTGGAAAGTACAAACTAATCCATAATCACTTTTGACTTTGAAGGCACACACACACACACACACACACACACACACACACACACTAAATGAGTTCAGTGTCTGATGAACAGACAGGTGCTGGAAGGAGCAGCTAAGCTTTAGGACCAAACACCTAGCTCTAGCCTGACAGGTTCAACAATTCAGGCAGCAAAAGCAGAAAGAACCTGAGTGCCAAGACAGGGGCCATGGTCCCACTAAACCCAGGGAGTGTTTCTGCCATGTCCAGTTCCCCCAGCAGGTCCTGGGGTGTCAGTACCAGGACACCTTCTGTTTTACAGCTTGGTGAGGTCTCCTGGTATGGACCACCCTGAAGGGGTCAACCAAGTGAAGGGATCATTCCGATGAATTATGGAAGCGCTTCTCTAGTGCGTTCATTCACAATGCTTGCAGGTGTTTTTCAGCACTGTAAAAGCAGATTTCCTCTAGCGTCTGTATGTGTGCGACCTCAGCATGGTAGACACAGGGCATCTGGAGGGTCCCAGTGGGATGCAAAGGCAGGGGGGGCAGGTAGTTTGGACAGGGGAGAAGGTTCCTTTGGTGGGTCAGAAAACCCTCTATGTCAGCCGCACCCAAGGGCGCAGAGTCCCACTGATGTGTGTTTGGCCTTGTAGGAGCTGGAGGAAGGCACGTGGGCAGGGCTAGACACAGTTCCCAGTCAGCAGTCCAGGATGTCCCCGGGCCGGCCGAGGCTGACCCTCTCCACGCGTGCCCGCGGCCAGCGCGCCTCTGCAGCTGGTCTGTGCCGGCCCCACGGGGTCTCCCAGGCCCGGGAAGCTCGCGTCCCCGCTCCACTCGCTCTGTCCAGCGCCGGCCTCGCCGGGGTCCTCCCTCAGCCGCCGCGGGCTCCGCCCCTTCTCTCTCTCCGCCGTCCCGGCGCGCTGACCCCGGAGGGGGCGGCCCCAGGCCGTGCGCTCGGCCGGGCGGAGCTCCGGGCCCGGGACCAGCTGCGCCTCCAGCCGTGCACACTGCAGGAGCGGCGCCGAGCAGCACGCCTTGCCCGGGCCCCCTCGGCCCCACTCTCGGAGCCTCCGGAGCCCCCTCCCCACCCTCCGCCACGCTGCTGGTAAGTCTCACTCTGCACAGCAAACTTTTTGTTGTTGTTGTTCCTGCAGCCTCGCAGCTCGGCGGCGGGACCGAGAGCTGCCTTGCAGTAGGTGTTGGGGTGGGGGTGCAGGGCCGGGAACAGCGCCTGGAGCTGAAGTGGCGTCGAAGCCGTGGCTGCCCCCTTGCGCGGGATGGTGCCACTCGCGATCTCGGCGGGTTCAACCCGCGGAGACGGAGCTGAGGGGGTGAGCGGCCACTCGCCCACCTCCCCCATTCCTTTGAACAGTTCCCGATCATTTTCCCTCCATCTTTCCAGTGTCTTGGGCGCCCCAAAACTCCTCGGCTCCCCGCCGTGGCGTGGCACCGCGCTCCCCTCCGCCCGCAGGCACTGCGGGCGCGCCTCCTGCCCGCGACCCCCGGGCCCGCGCGCTCCCTCCGGGTCTGGCCGTGTGGCCGGCGGGCCCTGGACGTTTGAGGGGCTGGTCGGGCCGTGGGAAGGAGAGGCTGCGGCCGGGCTGGTCGGCGGCGCGCGGGCGGGCGGGGCGGGCGGGGGTGGCGAAGGGGCCGGACGGGGCGGAGCGGGCGGCATTTGCGGCCGGCGCCGGGGTGGAGAGTTGCGCGGCGGTCCCTGGGCCTGGGCTGGGGCTGGGGCGCCGGCGATGTCTCAAGATGGCGGAGCTGGGCGAATTAAAGGTACCGGCCCCCTCCCCCACCGATCAGGACTGCGCCCAGCGGCGCGCCGAGTCGGGGGAGGCGAGCGAGGCTGGGTGCGCGGGCTCGGGTGGGCGCAGGAGACGTGGCAGGGCCTGGCTGCCGGGGCTGCGGGCGAGGAAGGGCTGCGGCGGGGCTCGGGGGCGGGGCTGGGGCAGATGCAGGGGTGGGGCCGAGGGGAATTGCAGCTGTTGGGGGCCGCGGTGCAGGGGGCGGGGACGCGGGGTCCCAGTGGGGTTTGGTGCAAGGGGCGGCTGGAGTAGGGCCCGGGGCGGGTGCGGGGGAAACGCAGGGATCCGGGCCCGGAGCTGTGAGCGAAAGGGGCAGAAGCCCGGGTGGGAGCCGGGCAGCCGGAGGGGCGACTCCTGGGCGCTGGCTCCGGGATGGATCGCAGGGCCCGGGATGGAGCGCTGGCCCCGGGATGGAGCGCTGGCCCCGGGATGGATCGCAGGGCCCGGGATGGAGCGCAGGCCCCGGGATGGAGCGCTGGCCCCGGGATGGAGCGCCCCTGGGCCCGCGGTGGGTGCCGAGCCTGGGGAAGCACTGGTGGGCGCGGTCGAGGTGGAGGGGCGGGGCCGAGCGGGGTGGGTCTTGTGGCACCCTGAACCTGTGGCACCCTGGGAAGGTGTGTGGGGCTTGGGTGGAATTAGTGGGGAAAAGTAAAGCCAGGATAGAAGGGTGATGAGGATGGGGAGAAAGGTGGAGGATAAAGTTTGTTATGGCACCCTGGATGCGGGACCAGGACAAGCCTGGGAGGCTGGAGGGCTGGGACCAGGCCTGTAAGGGCTGAGCCCTGTTGGTCTCCCAGAGACTTGAGGGAGAACACCTGAGAGAATGTCTGGAAACACTGGCTCCATCCTCCTGCTCCTGGCCCTACATTCCCTCAGATGTCTGTGTAGACGTGCATTTGGGTGGTAGAAACACATCTTTTCTCCAGGGCAGAGGCAGGATTTTCACTCTTGGCAGGTGGAGCACACAGGTAAACAGTGGGACATCTGGACTTGGTTGATGCCTAGCGATTCATGGGTAACTCCTTCTGCCCAGCCAAGCTTTGGTTCTGTCTCCCTCTTAGAAAAGTAGGACCAAGGAAGGAGGGTGGTTATGGAAAAGATGCCGGAAAGCCCTTCTGGGTTATGAGCATTGAACCCTGAGCTGAAGGTCCTAGCCACAGCAGCTTGGAAGACTTTGGGGGGTAAGACTTGCTGAGCTGGGTAGGAGGGATGAACTCTGAGGCCCAATCCCCCAGCCACCTGCTCCTGTCCTCCCTGGGAGGCTGTGTGGCCTCAGTCCACTCTCCTCTCCCTCCTCCCTCCACTGCTGTCCTTCTCCCAGGAGGCTGGGATGGGTGTGAGAGCCTGAGAAAGCAGGAAGGGGAATGAGCAGCATCAAGGAGAGACAGGCTGAAGGCAGGCAACTTTGCACTGGGCTCAGAGGTGTCTGAGGAGGGTGTGGGCTTGTTGTGTGCCTTCCCCTCTGCCCATGCTGGGGGCCTGGGGTTGCTCCAACCCTGGGTGGTGGTGAGGCTGACCAAGGGGCCTGAGCTGTGCGTTTGTCACAGCAAAGCATCTTTCCCATCAGGGCCGGTAGCTCAGTGCTGGTGTCAACCTGGGACCAGGTGTCCTGTGCAGGGGAGGATTCTCAAGCTTCCCCATTCATCTCCACAGCACATGGTGATGAGTTTCCGGGTGTCTGAGCTCCAGGTGCTTCTTGGCTTTGCTGGCCGGAACAAGAGTGGACGGAAGCACGAACTGCTGGCCAAGGCCCTCCACCTGCTCAAGTCGAGCTGTGCCCCCAGCGTCCAGATGAAGATCAAAGAGCTCTACCGCCGGCGCTTTCCCCGGAAGACCCTGGGGCCCTCTGACCTCTCCCTGCTCTCCCTGCCCCCTGGCACCCCCCCTGTAGGCTCTCCGGTTCCTCTGACTCCCATGCCCCCTGCTCTCTTGACCCCTGGTACCTTACTGGGCCCTAAGCGTGAGGTAGACATGCACCCCCTTCTGCCTCAGCCCGTGCACCCTGACGTCACCATGAAGCCATTGCCTTTCTATGAGGTCCATGGCGAGCTCATCCGGCCCACTACCCTCGGTACGGCTCTGTGTGTTCTCTTGGGTGTTCTGAACACCATGGTCTCCCCCTGTGCCCTGGTATTTGGTGGGCTTTCATCTCGTGGTACCTGCAATCTGAAGTGGAAATAACTTGTCTCTTTGTATCCTCAGCATCCACGTCCACCCAGCGATTTGAGGAGGTGCACTTCACCTTTGCCCTCATGCCACAGTTCTTCTACATACGGGCAAGAATCCAAGGCTTTGGCTCATCCTCTCCTGCTTTCCCATGCTGTCTCAGGCCACTAATAGAAAGCTGGTTGGAAAGTGGAGCAGCTGGGACTTGAACCAGCGCCCATATGGCATCATGGCACTTGTAAGAAAAGGATTAGCCATTTGAACCATTGTTCCAGGCCCTGAGGTAATACTTTGCTGATCAATGTTCCAATGGTGGAAATCAAGTCTGATCTCCCACTACCCAGACTTGGGGCAGCAGGGTCCTGAGCCCCCCACTGATCTGTACTTGACGCCACTGCACTGTAGAGGCCACAGATCTGGTGCAGCTGCATGACAGAGTGACTGCCTGCCTGGCCTTCTAGGCAGGAACACCACTGTGTGTTTGCTGGGGAGTTGTTTTGTAACAAGATATGATCCCTAGCCCTATCGGTAACCTCCATAGAAGCTACAACTGCTTAGGCTTTCAGAGAGTACTGCTCCTGGGGTGTACCTGAGGCCATGCTTCGGCTAGCTGACTTCCCTCACCTCTTGACTCCCAGCCAGACATCAAATCAAATGCAGGTGGATTTTCCCAAAGACCAGTTCATCTAATCTGCCTTCCACCCTCCTTCCCTTCCTTGCCCTCTTATTCCTTCCTCCTTCTTCCTTCCTTCCTTCTTTCCTCCCTCCCTCCTTCCCCTCTTTCCTCCCTCCTTCCTTTCCTCCCTCCCTCCCTCTCTCCCTTCTTTCCTTCCTTCCTTGCTTGCTTCCTTCCTTCCTCTGCCATTAAGCACCTAATGTGTGCCAGGCAGTGGCCAGTCTAGTGGGGAAATCAAACATGCACCCAGAGTCAAATACAACTGGCTGCTATGCAGCATGAATGCTGGCAGTCACACAGAAGACACATGCTTTGTGGGGCAAGGATGGCAGGGATGGGAGGGAACACTTCACAAGAGCGGAAGAAAAAGGCCTGGGGGGCGTGAAGTGGGAAACTCCATACTTCAGGGAGGATTCCTCCCCAGAGGTCAAGGGAATGCTAGTAGATTAAAATAGTTTGAGATGGTTTCAAATGACACAGGAATAAGGCAGTCCGCAGCTTCTCCTTAGGGAGATAAAAAGTCTTGTAAACGTGGTAAGAACTTTTGGCTTTATCTTGTACATTTCTTTTTAACTTTTTTTAAGTTTCCTTTTTTTTTTTAACCCCAAAGGTTTATCCACTTATTGGAAAGGCGGTTTTACAGAGAGGAGAGACAGAAAGATCTTCCATTCACTGATTCATTCCCCAAATGGCCATAATGGCTGAAACTGACCTGATGCAAAGCTAGGAGCCAGGAGCCTCTTCTGGGTCTTCCATTTGGGTGCAGGGTTCCAAGGCTTTTAAACCATCCCCTATTGCTTTTCCAGGCCACAAGGAGGGAGCTGGATGGGAACTGGAGCAGTCAGGACTCGAACTAGTACCACCTGGGATTCTGCACTTGGAAGTGAAGGATTAGCCAGTTGGGCCAACACACTGGGCCTATCTTCTGCATTCTCATACACATTTTAGTGGGCTTCATCAGGCACAGGGAACAAAGGTTGGTTGCATAGCCCAGGCGGCTTTGACTGACTCTGTTCAAGAATCACTGGGAACCTGAATTTAGGAACAGTGGGACTAGGAATGGCTGCTGGTTCCTTTGATGGTGGTGGTGGTGTGTGTGTGTGGTGGGTAAAAGTGAGTTGTTTTACTGAGAAGAAATCTTAAAAATGCTCAGTCTCCTGGAGCCAGCACAATGTCTCGATTGGCTAATCCTCACCCTTCAAGTCCTGGCTGCTCCACTTCCCATCCAGCTCCCTGGGATGCAGTGGAAGATGGCCCAAAGCCTCTGGACCCTGTTCCCGGGAGGGAGGAGCTGGTTCCTGGCTTCTTTGGATCAGCTCAGCTCTGGCCATTGCGACCACTTGGGAAGTGAACCAACAGATGGAAGGTCTTTCTGTCTCCCCTCCTCTTTGTAAATCTGACTACCGATAAAAATAAATCTTGAAAACAATTTATCGCGTCTCCTCTCTGTTAACAAATAGGTGTCAAGTTTGCCTCATGTTTTGTCACTCCGGTTAACACTTCAATCTCCTCCTATTCCCAAAGAGCCCTCCTCAGATTCTCTTGTGCTTGGGTTTGGGGTCGGGGAAGAAGCAGAGGTGGTTACGGCGGTTACCAGCCACAGTTGCTCTAAGCTCGAGCCCCCAGCGTGGCTGAGGCGCGTTCTGCGCGAGGGTGCCCGGGGGCGTGGCCGAGGCGGGACAGGGGCGGGGCGTAGGAGAAGCTTCGGCCGCAGCCCGCCGGCGGCTCCTTTCCCAGGGAGGCGGGCGGGAGCCGGGGGCGGGCGCGGACTTGGGAGGGCCAGGTGTGAGACCTACCCGAGTCGCAGCCGAAGACGGCGGGCGCTTTGCTTCTGCAGGGGCGCGAGGGGGCGGGGCCGGGGCGGGGTTGGAGCCCAGCCCTCGGACTCGCGTCTCTGATTGGGCAGGGCGGGGCCAGGGGCGGGGTCGCCTCAGCTTTCTGACAGTTGCTTCTGGCACCGCCGCAGCCGTCGGTGCAAGTGGGTTTGGGAGCCTGTAGCCGGGCTCTCCGCGCGTCCCCGTCCCCCGGTGGCCCTGACCCCGGCCATGAAGCGTTTCTTCTCCTGCTCCAGTTCACAAGTGGCGGTAGGTGTCCAAAATATGTGGGATGATGGGGATGGGGTTCAAGCCCTGAGGGGACAGAAGTCCTGAGTCCTACCTTCCTGTATGGATCTAGTCAGAGTTTTCGCTCCCACAGGGTAGCCCCACTCAAGCTGACCACAGCTGACATCTATACTCTGTTCTCCAGCTTCTGGTTTGCCTTCTTAACCTCTGGCTTCTCTTGATCCTTCCCTTGGCCCCCTCCAACCCACCCAGTGTTGATGCCTCAACCTCTGGGATGTTGTCTATAACCGGGCTCTTCCCCCCACCCCACCCACTTTATTCAGGGCCCCGTCTTCGACTTCTCTGTCTTCCAGTACCATGCCATTCCTCAGGCTTCCCTCCTTGCCCCTGCCCAGCCCCAAGCTCCAATCTACCCACCAGTATGCCCCGTAGCCTCATTTTCCCAGTCTCATTCTGTGCCCTCAATCTTTCCTTCTCATACAGCCCCATCCTTTCATTTTCCTGTCAGCCTAACAAGCACTCCGAACCAAGTGCCTTCTCTTGGCCCTTTTTCGTAGTCTCCCTGGCCTTGCCTCCATCCTGCCCCATGCCACTTCCATTCTCTCACCAGCACTGCCAACCCTCATACATCAGTCCATGCCACTTTCTAGTTGGTGCTCCTGCGAGAGGAGCCTTCTGTTGTCCCTGCCTGCCTCACCCTGCCCAGAGATCACCCAGTCCCACCTGCTTTCTTTTCTGCCTGCTCGCTGGGGGGTTAATCTTGCAGTCTGGCCAGCCTGACAGGCACTGCCAGAGGACGCACAGTTGCCTGGCTGCTCCCCAAAGGGCTGGGTGAGTTGTCTGCAGAATCCTCCCTAGCCAGTTCACTGCAGCATTCAGTCATCAGACTGGTTCTGGGGCCAGTCAAGGCCTTCTGCCTGCTTCTCCCTTGATTTGTCTTTACCCCGAATTCTCCTCTGGTTGTTTAGAGCTTGTATTCTCTGTTTCTTCAGTCTGAATTAGGGAAAAGTGATTGTGAGAGAAGTCAGTGTGGTTTCATTCTGAAAATTCCCAGCAAAGTCACTCCACCCCCACCCTCTCAGAACAAAACCCAAGGAGAAGGGCGGTGGTAGCTCAAGGGGGGCGGGGGGTATCTCTTTTTTCCTCCAAAGAGATCTCCTGGGATGGAACTTTCTGTGAACACTCGGATAGTGGCCCAATTAGAAATGAATTAGCCAACTGCTAGTAGTAATAGTACTTAGCTAGCTTGACTTAGTAAGTAGTAGGTGGTTAGTAAGCAAATACAAGAAATGCTCAGCTTACTCTGCATGGGCAGGACATAGAAACTTGGAAGAAAGCGATGAGGCAAGAGTGTGAACTGTTGAGGCCTGTCCTTGTCCCACATACACTGGCTTCTCCACCCACTTTCCGTACACTGATCAGCCAGCCAAAAAGGCATTTAATATGATATATTATAGGTGCCACAAACAGATTATATGGACTCTGTCTTAACTCATGATGATTTTCTGATTCACAAAAACTTTTCTTTGGTTACTAAAAAATCTTCAACATTGTCCTTCCCTTTCAAGTTTGTGGAATCTGCCTACTGCCTAGAATGGGGCATCCCTTTACAATCCTTGAAAAGTGTTCTTTTCTAGCATGCTGGAGTTAAAAGTGGGTTGAACCTGAGAAGCTGGATCCATTCCTCTCCCCTTCTGGACTCTAGATTGGCAGAGCCTTGGCCAGGAGGAATGTCCAGCCATACCGGCTATACTCTAGGTGTAGTCATTCTAATGAGTCGATAGGAAGTTGGATGGGTTTAGAACTATAGATAGTTCCAAATAGCAGGAAAGAAAAATATCACCTCAGCCAGACTGAGGTTGCAGAAAGTTTGAAAATAAGTTAGTTCAACTGTAAATCATTTCCTCCTGAAGCTTCCCCATACTTCTAGTGATAAATCCCTCCACTCCTTGGGGTAGCTAAGCACTCTGGGTCCACTGGTCAGAAGTAGTGACAGCCATCTTGATCACTCCAAAAGCCTGGCTTTCCAGTTGTACCAGAGGTTGCCTCTTTTCATTCTCATTCACAGCCCTGGGTCGAGGGCCAGAGCCTTAAACTCTTACTCCTTGGGTAAGAGTTGAAATATCAGTGATCATTTTTAAATTTTAAAATTGAAAAACTCATCCAGGATGTAGGAAGTTCAACAACACCAAAAAACGCCCAGTTCCTGTCATCTGATTTTATTTTGGTCAACTAGAAGATATCTCACTTTATTTTGGTTATCTAGAAGACATTTTGGTCAACTAGAAGATATCAAACATATGAACTTCCTCTGCCTGGTTAGAAAGTAGATTAGAAAATAACTCTAAACTATCAGCACTGGATCAGCTAAGAGGACTCTTCAATGCTTTTAATCTGTTGTCCTAATTCCTTCAGGGCAGCTGTTCCATATCCATTCATTTTGTGCTACAGCAGTAATCATTCTGTTATTCTTCTATCTAGATAGGGTTCTTATACTCACACAGAGAAGGAGAGAGATAATGAGGGGATACAATTACTTTTACAAGGTTCCCTGATCTTGTCTTTTTTATTGAGTTGACTGATTAATTTGGTGATTGCCCCCCTTGAGATTGCAATCATGATGCATTTGCCTCCTTTCTGAGGAGCTGGGGAGAGAAATGGACTGTGTTTTGGAATGTAGAAACGTTGCTTTGTGCTGCTCTTCTCCAGTTCTGCAGGGGTTAGGTCCTGAAGGCTTCACAACTAAACTCTTTTTTAGTATGACATACAGAAAGTAGATTGGAATTATCCAGTGGCACTCAAACAAAACAAAACAAAACAAAACATATTGTTAAGAAATCATGTATGCAGCCTGGCTATTATTCTTCATTTGAGTAAGATCCCTTCTTTCCACTCCCCTGTCTGGAAAATTGTGGACCCAGGAACGTCCAAATGGACCCAGCAAAAGGAAGAGGGAAGGGACTAGAATGAACATTTGTTGTAGATCTGTCATGGATAGAGCTAGCCTCTGAGGTCATCACTTGCTTCATGTGCATTCCTCAGGATTTTAAACTTCAGACTGAGGTCAGTGGATGCGTGGGTCGAGTTCTCTGCTTTTCCTGGGAGTGATCAGTGATTCTTACAGGTCAGAGTCAGCCAGTATGTGGAAGAGTCACTTTGCTTATTTTGTCCTTTGAGAATGAAGGATCTCAGAGCAGATTAGCATCTGAAAGTGAGTGGGTTTGCCTTGGAGGCAGTCTCAGATGCTTATCTTACCTGGGAGTAAGTGAAAAATTTCCCCTTGCTCTGTAGTGGTGCAGTGAGGTGGTGAGAACTAAAACTGGGCATCAGGTGACCTGGTTTTTATATTAGTTTTGTCACTTGTGTGATTCTACTAACTTTAATATGCTTCCATTTCTTCTTCTTAATAACATAAGTACTTTCCAGGGATCTTGACAGGGTAAGTGAAGGAACACTTGAAAGGGCTGTGAGGGGTTACAGGTGTCCAACAGGTGTATTATCTCAGACTCCATCTGCCCTAGATAATTTTATGGCTGGGCATTTAAAACTTTACTGTTGTTGATTAATAATTTGTCCTGGCTATATAAACAGTATTTAAAAATGAGTTATGGGGTCTCTATAGACCCTATTTTTCTTCACCTCCTTGTACATATCCTCTTTCTTGTTGAGACTATACCTCATAAAATGTAATGAGCCACTACCAATCTACCACTGCTTCCTGTTTTTCTTACAAGGATGCCAGTTTAGAAAGAGATTTTTAGCTACGTTTGTTTAATACTCACAACATGATGAGGTAGTTATTATTACCCACATTTTATAGATGAGGAAATAGGTTAGAGGTGTTTCAAAGGCTCCTGTAGGTCACATAGCTGAGAATGTAGCAGAACCAGGTGTGATACTCAGGCCGGTTGACAAGATTACTAGGCCCCTCTTTATCATGGCACATCCTCACATCATTCCTTTCCCCTCTCTGAGCCAAACGAGGTTGTATCTGCTTCTACCCTGAGTGTTTTCTTCACAGCTCTCTCTTTCATAGCCTATAATGCTTTAATTATAATAATTACCCCCACACACAGCCACAAAACTCAAGCTGGGTGAAAGAACAATGCATGCCCAGGTGTGGCTGTTGTCTGGGACAGCTGCTCCCTGCCAGGGAAACTAGGAGGGAGGTGTCAGAGCAGGAAGTCAGCTGCCTTTGGCAGCTTCCTCAAGCATAACTAGAAACCCATCTTTGCCTTTTGGTTGTTGTCATGGAAGGGGAAAAAGAGATTAGCTAAAGGCACTGATGTAATTGATACAGGAAGACAGAAACTGTTTCCCTTCCCAATTTTGAAGCCCAGAGTGTACGAGTAGTATCTAAGTCACTCCTAGCTGTGACTTAAAGCCAGGGGTCTTCATTTACATCCTCAATAACAGGACAAAAGATACAGCACCTAGGAGAGGGGGAGGCAATGTGAACTCAAGAGCAGTCAGGTTGGTTCAGTTTGCTCTAGAGAGCAAAAGAGAAAGGAGTTGTGGCTAGAATTGCTAGAGGTTAAGTGCCTAGCAACTATAATCGTAATGATCATGAAAAGATATTCCACATACTTTCCGTTCAGTACTCATAGATTATTTCTAAATCAGTGGTCCAGACACCCTGTGGTTCTGGGCAGGCAATAACCAGCAAGAAGACTTGGTAGCGTATGAATTGTTTAATATTTAGCTGACCCGTCTTAAAAAGGTCTAATTGATGGAGACTGTGATAGGTGGAACATTGAAAGGAGGTCAAGGATGTCCATTTTCCTTTGGTTGGCATCCTAACCAACTCACTCTCTTCTTTCTGAACCACTCCCATTTGTTATATTCACACAACTTCTGGCTTTGGATCAGGTGGAGAGATGGAACCGTCGTGACCAGAAGTTGCTGGAGGCAGTGCAACGGGGCGACGTGGGACGCGTGGCTGCCCTTGCCTCCAGGAAATCTGCCCGACCCACCAAGCTAGACTCAAACGGCCAGTCCCCGTAAGTAAGTCCTCTTGACCCCACCCCTTCTAGATGGCTCCCTTTGAAAATCTTGAACTCCAAAAAATTGCAGAACTGGGTGTTAGTTTAAAACATAGTTAAGGTTCTTATGCACAGCTAGTTACTGCAGCCAAGTCCTCTTTTCACAGTAAGTCTACTGGAAGCCAAAATCTGAGACACAGAGAGGTCCTTAGGAAGTCCTTTATTCCAACAGGGTAGAAATGGGAGCAGGGATGGAGGGGGAAAAAACTAGAAGAGAAATGTCTCCTGCCATGGTGGCAGGATGGGGGGCTGCCAGAGCAGGGGAAAGGAGCAAGATGGAGGATGGGGGAAAGCCAGGTAAAAAGGGAAGGGGTAAAAGGGAAAGAGAAGCAAAAGGGGGCACATGTGGACACTCATTTATACAACTCAGGTGAGCCTGCCAGTTGTGGAGGCCATGGAGAATTGGTTGGTAGGAGCTGTGGGCGGGCCCCAAGGTATTGGTAACTGAGATTATCTGAGCCACAGGTAGGTGGATGGGGACTAGGATGAGTGGCCAGGAGACTGGGATTCTCAGGTAAGACATGAGGTTACATCTCATTGGTGGATAACTGGAACAGAGTGAATTTCATGAGCTGTGGGGAAGGGGAAGCAGGAAGTAGCGCCGGGTCCAAGATGAGATGTTCTCTTCACACTGGGGAATACCTGCAACACCCAAGTCCTTTTTGTCATGCTAGTTAGCAAAGCCTGTCAAGACGCTTTTGCTACATCCCAAGTGCAACACAAAATGAGAAAAAAAGGTATTCCTGAACTCCATCCGTCTCACAATCCAGACTGAAGGCGCTGTTCAAAACGCACATACAGCCTATCAGCAAGCAGATTAATACCTAGACAGAAGGGAGTGCTTCTTCATTGCACAAGTAGGAAGGTGTTGTATGCTTGGGAAATTAGAAATGAAAGGGCAGTTTTGGGAGTCACAGAGATAGAGGGACAAGGGAACTGCTATGCTTTCTGTCTGTAAATCAGTGTTGAAATGTGCAACCCTCTGCTCTGCTCTGCTCTTGCTTTCTGTGATGCTTTTTGACCTTTTCAAATTTCCTTGTCAAGGTTTTGTGATCAGAGACAGGTAATTATGCGGTGCTTGGACACCCCTGTAGTACTCTGAGATGCCTTCTTGGGCATCTGTAGTTCCCTCTCCAGCTTCCTCTGACCTGAAGGCTGTGGGCCATGATGCCTTCCCTTTGTCAGAAGTCAGCCTGAGGAAATGGTCCTCTCTGAGTCGGGGTTGTCTTTAGGGTAGGGAGCATTGCAAACAGTGCTTGTTAGGATTCTCCCACTCCTGGGGCTGGATACCTTGGCTCGACAGGCTAATCTTCCACCTTTAAGTGCTGGCATTCCATGTGGGTGCCGGTTAATGTCCTGGCTGCTCCATTTCGAATCCAGCTCCCTGCTAATGGCCTGGAAAGGCAGTTGGAGGATGGCCCGAGTGTTCAGCTCTGGACATTGTGGCCATTTGGAGAGTGAATCAGTAGATGGAAGATCTTTTCCCTCTGTGTCTCTCCTAAGTTTGCATCTCTAATAAAAATAAATGGATTTTTTTCTATAAATGCTTATGCTATGTTTTCATTTATTTATTTTTATTTTTATTTATTTTTTAAAATTTTTTAAAATTTGATGATCTTTACATAATCGAGTAGGGTTCAAAGGGTCAAGAGCTACAGGAAAGTGGGTAAGACCATTGTTATCACATTCTCTTTTTTTCCTTCCTGTATCTGGGGGAAGGGAAGAGACAATGGGAGAAGCCACACCCACCCTTCCAATCATCCTAGGGTCCCCGAAGTGGGGCATGCTCCGAGGGCACTGTTCAAGTGGTTTCGATAGTTCAACTGTTCTGAATTGCTGCCAATCTTGCCATTTCAAGCACATAAAATCTCTTCAGAAGCCACTGGGTGACATAGTCCACCTTAGAGTCTCCACTTGTCCAGATTTTCGCTGCCAACACTTGGCTGGGTGGTTGATCAATTTGTTCTGTCTTCTCTTTTTTTTTTTTATTTATTTTTTTTTTTAAAGATTTATTTTTATTATTTTTTCATTGGAAAGGCGGATATACAGAGAGGAGAGACAGAGAGGAAGATCTTCCGTCCGATGATTCACTCCCCAAGTGAGCGCAACGGGCCGATACTATGCCGATCCGAAGCCAGGAGCCTCTTCCGGGTCTCCCACGCGGGTGCAGGTTCCCAAAGCTTTGGGCTGTCCTCCACTGCTTTCCCGGGCCACAGGCAGGGAGCTGGAAGGGAAGCGGGGCTGCCGGGATTAGAACCGGCGCCCGTATGGGATCCCGGGCGTGCAAGGCGAGGACCTTTAACCACTTGCGCCACCGCGCCGGGCCCTGTTCTGTCTTCTCTTGTTGTACCAGGTGTCCTGTGCAGGCTCCAATGTACTACCATATTCTCCATGTGCACTTGGATATGCTATCCACTGCTCCATCTGAGCCACTGAAGTGGCTTAGCTTTGGCATATGCACTCCATGGTCAGACCATGGAACCTGTGATTCTCCAGGGTTGGGGTTCTGAGTTCAGCAGTTTGATTGGGGGGGATCCCCAAAGAAATGTTGTTGGAAGTGATTCCAGACCAGATTCTTATGTGTGCGTGCCAGTACAGGGTCTGGCACAGTTCATCGCCCCATCAGCCTATGCGTATGCTGGTGGCTGCAATTGCTGGGTCAGTTCTGCCTCCGGCCCCATTTTCTGCACAAACCAATGGGTATTAGAGCCATTTCCAATCCTGCTCACCACATACTTGGCCACGTAAACCAGTAGGAGCTGCAGCCTAGCTGAGGCGACTCCCAATAACCCTCACCAGGCCCTCCTCCTGCCTTGGTTCCCATTCTTGCCAGTATGTACAGCAGACTGGTCCAGTCTGTCCAACATACCATTTAGCTCACATACATGCCAATGGGTACTGAATCCTAGTTCAACCCAACCAGCCCCACTGTCCAGCCCACACATCTGGCAATGGGTGCCACTCTGTCTAGCCATGCCTGTCACCAGAGTGACAACCCAGAAAGGAGATGCCCAGTGTTTCCCTATTGGGACCACTCCCACATCATGTCTTCTCCAGGTGGTTCTGCAGTTTGGCTTGGCAGAATTAGTCCTTGGTGCTAGCATCTGCTAGCTGATGCTGCAGCAGAGCCAAACCAGCCCACACCCACTCTGACTTATGTTTGTACCAGTAGAAACAGTCAACCCAGCCTGGCTTTTCCCTGGTCCAGCTCACATGAGGCCAACAGGAGTTATAGCTCTGCCGGTCTGGTCTGCCCCCAGCTCAACTCACACTCTTGAGTGCAAGTGATGATACAGCAGAGGAGCCCTCCACATCCCCGTACCAGTTTTGTCCCCTTCCCACCCTTGGATCTTGAGTGTGCTGCCTGGGTGCCACGGCCTGGTCTGGTATGGCCTACCTCATCTCAGCTTTTTCCAGTGGGTGCTGTAGCCTTTCCCAGCCTGGCTCACCCCCAATTCCAGCTCAGGCTGGCGGGGGCTACAACCAAACCCAGCCCAGATGGCACCTAGTCCAAACTCTCGTGTACTGGCGTGTGTTGAGACTGAACCCGGCCCAACCTACATTCCATTCTGGGGTTCAGATTCACCAGTGGGTGATGTGAACTGGCCTGCCTGGTTCACCCCTGACCTGTGCTATATGAAAAATAAATAACTCTTAAAAACAATTAAAAATGAAAAGATTCTCCCTCTCTTCATCTTCTGGTTTCTTCATCCTGTTGGCCTTCATCCTGGCAGGTTTCATCTGGCAGCTTCCAAAGGCCTGACCGAGTGTCTGACAATATTGCTTGCCAATGGGGCTGACATCAACAGCAAGAATGAGGATGGTGAGTTAGAACATGGGGCTTTCAAGCTATTCGTGTGTCCCTTTCTTGCAGCAGGGGAAGGGCCAGTGTTGAGCCCTGCTAGAAGATCCCCCTGTGGCCCCTTACTTCTCTCTCCAGGAAGTTCTGGCCAGTGTAGTCCTGGGAGGATTCATTTCCGAGCAGCTGGGTACACCTCCTTGTCCTCTGCCACCTCTACCACAGGACCTGGCACTGGGGGAACAGGAATTTCTGGCCGCATGTGGCTGAGAACTTCTTTCGCTAATCTCGCTCTGATTATCTGTGTGTCTCTTTTGCCTTCCCTCCCTGTGAGTCATGAACATGCACTGGGGCCACCTACCCTCCCTCACTCCTTCTTTCTGTTTCCAGGAAGCACTGCCTTGCACTTAGCCACCATCTCCTGCCAGCCACAATGTGTCAAGGTCCTGCTTCAGGTGAGAGTTCCCATTCCTGCCAAGGGAAGAAGTGGACCCAGAGGCTCTTAACTTTGTAGCTACAAATACCAGTCAGTCAAGTGTACTCCTACCATTCCCAATAAGAATGTTGATGCTCATTGGCTCTTTCACGTGACACCTACAATATGCATCCCTACTACTGCCCTGGAGGGCAGGTTGCAAAGCAGTTTCCAGGGACTGTTAAGCTCTTGCATCGGCAGAGCCACTGCAGAGACTGACTGCTATGATGATGGGCAGGTGGAAGGAGGGCAGAGGTGTTCAACTCAAACTGCAGCCCTTCTGTTTTGAAGAACTTTCAAAAGAGAAATATATGTAAGAAAGGACATATGGACAATTTATAAATAGATTTTTAGGAACAAAACAGGCAGTTACCTCAACCAGTCATTAGACACTTGGCTATCCTGCTTTTGTTCTTTCTGACCGTTTTCAAACTTCGCAATTACAGTCCTGCTGTACTGGCCATGGATTCAGTTATTTTCCTTAGTATGTTTATTTACTAATTATCTGATCCCTCCCAACCCCCCTTAGGCCTTGGGTTTAGAAAGCAGGGCAGAAAGCCAAGACTGCCTCTCCTCTGCAAAGAACAGGCTGGACTTGCCTTGCCGTTAGCCTTTGACAGAGCCCCAGTCCTGCTGGCCCTCCCATGTGACCATGGCAGTTGGTGACCTGGTGAGGGAGTGGGGTGGGAATGTTAACACCAAGTTCCATGCTGCTTCCATTTGTGGCTGTTTGCAGCATGGTGCTAATGAAGACGCTGTGGATGCAGAAAACCGTAGTCCACTGCACTGGGCAGGTGTGTGCCACGGGCCTGGTGGGGACAGGACACAGGGTGGGAAAGGGAAGAAGAGGAGCTCACTCATTGGGAACATCAGCCAGGCCTAAGCCCCACCATCCCTGATTTTATCTCCAGCTTCCTCGGGCTGTGCTTCAAGTGTTCTCCTGCTCTGTGACCATGAAGCCTTCCTGGATGTGTTGGATAACGTGAGTGTCAGATGGTGGCTGGGCAGTGCCCATGCAGGGGAGACTGCTGCTCTCTAACCATGATCGGCCAAATTCTGTGACCTGGGGTTGTACAGCACCTCCTTTCTGTACCTTCTTCTCCCAGTCTTCTTTTCCTTTCCAGAGAGCCTAGCCCTTCTCTTCTGGAGAGTTTTCAACCATCCTCCAAAAAAGAATTTAGCCCCAGGATCTGGGCATTTTTCTGGAGGGGTATGGGAGAGGGAAGTCGGTAGGATTGGCTCCATAGGAACCCCCCACTCTCTGACCTGTGTAGGATGGACGAACACCTCTAATGATTGCGTCACTTGGTGGGCACGCAGCCATCTGCTCACAGCTGCTGCAGAGAGGCGCCCGAGTCAACGTCACTGACAAGGATGACAAGTGAGCTCACCCCATCTTCCTACCCCAGTCTTTTTGACTTGTCTAGAAAGGATCCATTGGGAAAAGTTGTGTGTGTGTGTGTGTGTGTGTGTGTGTGTGTGTGTGTGTAGCAGGCAAAGGGATAGGTTGGTCTCTGTTCTTGGAAATCTTGTTCCCAATCGTGTGCTGCCTGTTGCCACCACCATCTGCCTGGTATAGATGAAGCCAGAAATAGGATCAATACCTCTGGGTTTGTTTCTACTGGTTTTCAACTGCTTTTCTAAGCAAAAGGGTGCTTCCCCCTTCCTATTTTTTTCTGGTTCAAAGTTTATGCAGAACTTCAATGCATAAAGCTAAAAGAAACCAAAAATGAAGCCCTTCCAGTTGGCCCACTGCTTCCGAGGCTGCAGGTTCAACAGACGACGTTTGAAAAGTTCCAGCTTGGTCTAATGTTCTATCCTAGGCTGGTGTGGTCTGTTATTTTCCCAACCCCATTGGATCAGTTTATCCTGAGTTTTTGGAACCAGGATTCCTGCAGAGAAATCCTGTGAGGGGGAGGCCTATGCTCAGATTTGTCTCCGCCCGCAGGTCAGCTCTGATCCTGGCCTGCGAGAAAGGTAGCGCCGAGGTGGCGGAGCTGCTCCTGAGCCACGGGGCAGATGCCGGGGCAGTGGACAGCATGGGGCATGATGCTCTGCATTACGCACTGCTCACACAAGACAAGGCACTGTGGAAGCTGCTACGGCAGGCCCTGAACCGCCGGCGGCGCGGAGGTAAAGGCACATGTGCAATTTCAAGCTTGAAAATGTGTGACCCTTCCTAGGATTTCACCTGCTGCCCTGGGAGCAACCCATCTGACAGTTGGCACCTCAGTGAGGGTTTGCTGCTACAATGAGATGTCCAACTTTGTGAAAAGTGACCACCAAATGGCTTCATGCTGTCCCGTCTCCCACTGAAGGCCACTCTAGCTCGTGCTACAGCTCTCATTGTGAATCCATTTGTATGCCTTGCTTGTCAATCTCTCTCTCTCCTACCCGGCTACCAAGCCCTTGAATGACAAACTATTTCTGTCTTTCTCATCTCTGGGGTCCCAGTGCCTGTGACAGTGCCAAGCATGGTGGTTGGCCTGAAGTTCTGATGGACCAGGAAAGCAAGGTTGCTATGTAGTTAGAAACCTCTTCTAGAAGGCTGGCTTAGGAAGCTAAGTGGTGAAAGGCTATGACTACTAATTCAGAGGTCTGAGCATGAGGGCTAGAAGTCACGGACACTGACTTGTCTCATTTTCCCCATTTTTTTTTTCTTTTCTTGTAGGTCAGGGACTAGTCCAACACCCAGACCTTGTATCCCAGGTAAGACTCTAAGTGCCCCCCACCCCCAATGCTTCTCACCTACCCTAGACCATTCCTGTGACCCTAGGGGCACAAAGACATTCTGAGAGAAGAAAGACCCCTTCCCTCCCCTTAACTCCAGGGCCTCACTTCCCTGTTGCGTTTTTGACCTAGGCCTCTTCATCAGAGCCTCAGGTGGGTTCTCCACCAAAAAGCCCCTGGAGAGCAGAACCTGAGGAGGAGCAGGAGGAAGAGGAGGATGAAGGCCCACGCTCGGAAGAGTGGAGGTACAAGTACAAAGAGGAGCAGAGGAAAGTTTGTCAGTTGGAGCAGGAGCTCGTGCAGAAGACTGAAGAGTGCAAGGCTCAAGCTGCAGCCTACCTGGGCCTGGAGAACCACATTCGAGAGCAGGTGCAGGAGCTAGGGCTCCTCCTGGCCCAAGAGCCTGGAGCCCCAGGAGGGCAGAGCTCCTGTGTCCTGCCTGGAGGAGAAGGCATGGAGCAGGGTTGTCCTCTGGACTTGCTGACCGAGTGTGTACAAGAGCTAAAGAAGCAGCACCAGGCCACAGCCACAGTAAACACAGCATTCACTCCCAAGAGAGCTGAGGATTCAGCTCCAGCGGGTAGGGAGATCCAGTGTCAAGTCCAAGGAACTTCCCCACCAATAGAACAGGGGTTACCCCAGAGCCCAAGGCCAGAGACCATCAGGAAACCCACAGAACAAACTCTCAATTCTAAGGGACAGACCACCAACAGAGCACAGATCCCTGGCCCTGCCCACCCTAACCAACAGGGTACTATGCCAGTAGGTCTGATCCAAGCCCCAGCAGGTGAGCCAGCTGACACAGTGGCCAGCCCAAAGGGCACAGCAGCCCTGACCCAGCTCCTGCTGCAACTAAGGGAGGAACTGGCTGCAGTGTGGCGTGAGAAAGATGCAGCTTGGGGAGCTTTGTCAAGACCCGTCCTGGAAGGAGCTCTGGGGACTCCCCGGGCTGAGGCTGCAGCAGCTGCCTGGGAGAAGATGGAGGCCCGGTTAGAGCAAGTGCTGGTGAGGTTGGACAGGGCCAAAGCAGGGCTACAGGTGAAAGCGGAGGTCCCTGAGCCAGAGTTCAGACAGGGTGATCCAAAGGCAGCTCCAAGGAGGAGCAGAAAAGATGAAGAGGAGAAAAGGGCCTTGGGGCCCCGGGGGGAACCTCTAGGGGCCGTAGGAGAAGAGCTGTCTCCTGGAGGGACAGTTGTGGCCAAGGGCCAGCTGGAGAAAGAGGTGTCAGCCCTGAGACTGAGCAACAGCAACTTGTTGGAGGAGTTGGGGGAGCTGGGGCGCGAGCGGCAGCGCTTGCAGGGAGAGCTGCAGTCCCTGAGCCAGCGGCTCCAGCACGAGTTTGTGCCCAAGCCAGAGGCACAGGTGCAGCTCCAGCAGCTGCGACACAGTGTGGGACTGCTGACGGATGAGCTGGCCTTGGAGAAGGAGGCCACCGAGAAGCTACGGAAGCGCCTGGCCTCCCAGAGCAGCGGCCTTCGGGGGCTGTGGGATTGCCTGCCCCCAGACCTCGTGGGCAACGGTCGTCCGCGGAGCCCGGCCGCTGAGCCCCTGGAGGAGCTGCAGGCCTGCATCAGCACGCTGGTGGACAGGCACCGGGAGGCCCAACAGGTGCTGGTTCGGCTGGAGAAGGAAAACCAGCAGCTGCGCGGGTCCCTGTCCCCAGGTGGAGAGCCTGGCCCCTCTTCCAAAGCCGCAGCATCCCCCCAAGTGGCTGCTTTGGAGCAAGACCTGGGGAAGTTGGAGGAAGAGCTGCGAGCCGTCCAGGCCACGATGAGCGGCAAGAGCCAGGAGATCGGCAAGCTGAAGCAGCTGCTCTACCAAGCCACAGAGGAGGTAGCTGAGCTGCGGGCCCGCGAGGCGGCGAGCATGCGACAGCACGAGAAAACCCGGGGTTCTCTGGTGGCCCAGGCTCAGGCCTGGGGCCAGGAGCTGAAAGCACTGCTGGAAAAGTATAACATGGCATGCCGCGAGATGGGCCGGTTGCGCGAGGCGGTGGCAGAGGAGCGCCGCAGGAGCGGGGACCTGGCGGCCCGCGCAGCTGAGCAGGAGCGCCAGGCCAAGGAGATGCGCGGGCGCTCAGAGCAGTTTGAGAAAACGGCGGAGCTGCTCAAAGAGAAGGTGGAACACCTTATTGGGGCCTGCCGGGACAAGGAAGCTAAGGTGAGGAACTGCGGAGCCGTGGGCAAGCTCTGGGGGCCGAGTGTCTGGGTGTTTGAGCGAGTGAGTAGACGGAATCCAGCAAACCGTGGTTAGGTCAATACCCTGACTTAAGTAGCATCGGCGGTAGGCAGGGAGCACGCTGCGTTCTCCTGAGGCTCAGGGGTTGGAGTTGGAGGAGAGGTAAGGTGTAAGAGGAAAGCCAACTGAAGCACTGAAAGTGGAGAGCCAGGGTCCACATGCGTTGTGCTCAGGTGGGAACACCACCGGTTGTCAGTATTTTGACTTCCATAGTGGATTAACCTGGAAAGAGGCCCACTAGTATAATGTGCTATGGAAATTTTGTTAAGGTTCCTAATAGGGCCTGGCGCAGTAGCTTAGTGGCGAAAGCCCTCACCTTGCATGTGCCGGGATTCCATATGGGCGCTGGTTTGTGTCCTGGCGGCCCCACTTCCCATCCCTCTCCCTGTTTGTGGCCTGGGAAAGCAGTCGAAGACAGCCCAAGGCCTTGGGATCTTGCACTCATGTGGGAGACTCAGAAGAGGCTCCTGACTCCTGGCTTCAGATCAGCTCAGTTTAGCCACTTGGGGAGCCAATCAGAGGATGAAAACTTTCTGTCTCCTCTCTGTAAATCTGCCTTTCCAATTAAAAATGATCAAGTCATATATATGCATATATATAGATAAATGAGCAAAAGAAAGGAAATAGTATAGTGATTAAGAGCATGGTCCCTGGGCTTGGCATGGTAGCCTAGCAGCTCAAGTCCTTGCCTTGTACATGCTGGGATCCCATATGGGCACCGGTTCTAATCCTGGTGGCACTGCTTCCCATCCAGCTCCCTGCTGGAAAACATTGAAGGACAGCCCAAAGCCTTGGGACCCTGCACCTGTTTGGGGGACCTGGAAGAAGCCAGTCTGGACCAAGCCAGCCAAGACCTCCTGGTTCCTGACTTCACATCGCTTCTCTGACCTATGTGGTCGCTTGGGGAGTGAATCAACAGACAGAAGATGTTTCTCTCTTTCTTTCCTCCTCTCAATATATCTGACTTTCCAATTAAACAAACAAACAAACAAAACCTGGTCCCTGAGGCCCATGCCAGGGCGTAGTTGTTTAAGTCTCTGCCTGCGGTATTGGCAACCCATGAGGGCAGCAGTTTGAGCTCCAGCTGTTCCATTTTGACCGAGCTTCTTGCTGGTTTGTCAGGGAAGGCAGTAGAGGATGGCCTGGGTCCTTGGGGCTGGCCTTCTGACCGGTTCAGCTCCAATCATTAAGGCCCCATATGGGGAATGAGTCAGCAGATGGAGAATTTCTCTGTCTCTCTCCCTCTGTAACTCTACCTTTCTAATAAAAATCTTTTTTTTAAAAGATTTATTTTTATTGGAAAGGCAGACATACAGAGAGGAGGAGAGACAGAGAGGAAGATCTTCTGTCCATTGATTCATTCCCCAAGTGGCCGCAATGGCTGGAGCTGAGCTAATTTGAAACCAGGAGCCAGGAACTTCTTCCGAGTCTCCCACGCGGGTGCAGGGTCCCAAGGCATTTGGCCGTCCTTGACTGCTTTCCCAGGCCACAAGCAGGGAGCTGAATGGGAAGACCTGGTGACCATATGGGATCCCGGGTGTGCAACACGAAGACCTTAACCACTACTCTATCTTCCTGGGCCCAAAAATAAATCTTAAAAAAAAAAAAATGTGGTCTTTGAACCAAGACTGCCTAGATTTTGATTTCCATTTTGAAACCTATTGATTGTTCTTTGGAAAGTTATTTAACAACTTTAAGCCCCAGTTTTCTCAAATACGAGATGAGATAGTCATGAAGATTACATTTAATAGATATTATATGTATTTAAAGTACTCAGAATAATTTGTGGCACGTGGTCAGTAATCCATGAGAGGTGGTACGGATAATCCTCTTACCACTGTGCCTGTCATTGCTGTTTGCCAGGACTGCCTCTGTGCCGCTCAGAGCAGCTGTGAGGAGTCATCCCCATCTCCCTCTGGTGGCCGGAAGCCAGAAGGAGGTCAGGATCCAGGACTTACTCAAGTAGAATTGGAGAGATATGGATCCAAATTAGGATTTTATCATTTTTTGAATGCAAGATTTTGATAGATTACTTAGACTTCTTATTTATAAATGTGAATAACGGGCCCGGCGCGGTGGCGCAAGTGGTTAAGGTCCCCGCCTTGCACGCCCGGGATCCCATATGGACGCCTGTTCTAATCCCGGCGGCCCCGCTTCCCATCCAGCTCCCTGCCTGTGGCCTGGGAAAGCAGTCGAGGACGGCCCAAAGCTTTGGGAGCCTGCACCCGCGTGGGAGACCCGGAAGAGGCTCCTGGCTTCGGATTGGCATAGTATTGGCCGTTGCGCTCACTTGGGGAGTGAATCAGCCGTTGCACTCACTTGGGGAGTGAATCATCGGACGGAAGATCTTCCTCTCTGTCTCTCCTCTCTGTATATCCGCCTTTCCAATAAAAAGAATAATAAAAAAATAAATAAATAAAATGTGAATAACGACACTCCCTTCAGAAGTGTTCTCAGAAGAAAAGCTGCCCTGAGTAATAAGAGACAATGTGTGAGAGTATCCATTAAATTACCACTCAAAGGAAGTTGACCTTGACCCTGGCTGGCCTTTAGAGAGAAGGGACTCAGGCTTCAATGGTTTCCCTTTTTTTTTTTTTTTTTTTTTTTCCTCTTTTGGCTTCAGATCAAGGAGTTATTGAAGAAGCTGGAGCAACTTTCAGAGGAAGTGCTAGCAGTCCGGGGAGAAAACGCTCGCCTTGCCCTGCAGCTGCAGGTAGGTTTTAGTCCCCAGGGGAATGGACATGGCTGGAGAAGAAGGTGGAGGCAGGAGCGATGTCTGTGTGGAAAAGCCCTGAGAGTTGCAGAGGAGCCCTGGTCAGGCTGGTCAGTTCCGATTCCCTGTGCTGCTCCTCATGCTTGGGTGAGTGTGGGCAGAATGAGCAGGTGGCCTCCCACTGGTTTCTCACATTCAGGATGCCCAGAAGAACCATGAGGAGATCATCTCAACCTATAGAAACCATCTGCTGAATGCTGCTCGGGTGAGCATGCTGGAGTCCCTGGGGCCGAGGTGATGTACTGGAGGGATCCTTTCTCTTGTCTGTAAAGTATCATTTCTGAGAGAGTGGGAACTGCTGTCCCATCTCTGGATCTCACCAGAAAGATTGAGGAAGGTTATGTTTGAATATGAGTGTGGGGCAAGAGATGTTTGCCATTTCTTTTTAGTTGTTTTTCTTAAAATGTATTTAATTATATGAAAGAGTTGGCGAGAAAGAGAATCTTCCATTGCTGGTTCGCTCTCCAAATGGCCCAAATCAGAAGCCGAGAGCTTTCTGCTAGGTCTTCCACTTTGGTGGAGGAGGGGCCGAGGGCTTGAGCCCTCTTGTGCTGGATGCTGGATTGGAAGGGAGCATTTAGGACTTGAGCTGGCATCACAGGCCGTAGCTTAACCCACTATGCCATAGCACAGGCCCCATTTTTAGTTCTAAAGAACAGAACACCTGTGGTGTCCCACATGCTTTGCTTCATATTCAGAGTTTGCAACTGTCACAGTAACCCTGAAAAGTAGCATCATCATCTGCCTTATGAAGATAAGGCAAGAGGCATGGAGAAGTTAAATACCATAGGTGAGGGTTCATAGTAGCATAGCACTCTACCACAGAATCAATCAATCAGTCAATCAATCTCTCTCTCTCTCTCCTGTCTCTCCTCATTTTGTTTTATCATCCCCTTTCATTTCTTTCCTGCCACCAACAGGGCTACATGGAACAAGATGTTTACAGTATCCTACTAAGAATCCTCAGCATGCAAGAGGAGTGAGGTGGCCTCCCTGCGAGCCAAGAGACAGATTTCTGTGTTGTGAGTTGTGGGTTGAAGGTGGCAGGGGAAGAAAGGAGCTTGGGAGAAAGGACTTGGGAAAGGAGGCTCACAGAGGGGATCTGGCCTCCCTTGTTATCACTGTGATGGCGAACACTGGAGATCCTGTGGGGTACAAAGCACTTGAGTGAAATCCATCAAGAAGGGAAAATATGAGCATCTGTGACGAAGTGGATGAGCAGGTGAACCAGAGAAGTTGTCTTATGGGATGGCGACTGAAAAGAGGCACTGGGTGATTCCCGAGCTGTTAGAGTAGGGGGATGCCAGTGAAGATGAGGGATGAAAGGATAGCAGTGTAAGTTGTTCCCCAGGTGGCACGCGATGCAGTCCTTCACTTCCATTCCAGTTAGTCGAAACGCACACATCCCTCAGTCTTCTGATGCCGTCCAGACAGATGAGGTCCCTTTGAGTACACTGATGTGGGTGGGAAAAGGCACAATGTAAAAGCATGTGTGTTTCAACCTTGAATTTTTCTTTTCAGGGAATAAAAGCATCCTTCCTGATGGCTGTTGGAGGCTCTATCAAGGTGGGGTTGTGGAGGGAGGAGGCCTCACCCAACATCATGGATCCTAGCCTGAAAATGTACATCTCGGGATTAGCATGGATGAGCCCAGAGGAGGATGAAATCCAGGATGGAGACCAAGTCTGTGGCAAATAAAGCAGGGGGCAGCATGCTGTGGAGTGTCATCCTTGCTTCTGTCAAACAGGGAGTGGTGGGGAAGGGAACTTTTTTAGGATTGTTATTTTTCACATGGAAGTTGGGGGTGGAGGAGGAGAGAGAGATGGATATCTTTCATTTACAGGTTCACTCGCCAAATGGCCACACCAGCCAGTTCTGGGCCAAGTGAAAGGAGCCAGAAATTATAACCAGGTCTCCCACATGGGCAGGCAGGGGCCCAAGTAGGAGGGGGGGGGGGGGAGGGGGATGAAGAGAGGAAGAAAATGGATAAGATATGGGAGTAGGGGGGTGGTGGGGCGGTCAGGTGTGTGGGGGTGTTATGGGGTGTGGGGATGGGGTTAATGGTGGGTAATATTGGAAGAAAAGGGGAGGGGTTAGGTGTTTGTATATTGGTATGTGGAAGGAATGGAATGGGGGGGGTATTGGGGGGGGGGGGGGTGTTGGGGGGTGGTGGGGTTTGGATGTGTGTATGTTGTGGGGTGTGTGTGTGTGTTGTGGAAGAGGTGGTGGATAGAAAATTGGGTGAGATTAGGAAGTGGAGTGGAAGTGAAGTTGAATGGTGAATGGTAGGAGGAAGGGAGAAATAGAGGGGATGGGGAAATTTGAGGGGGGAAGGAAGAGTAGGAGGGAAAGGAATATGGATGGTGAGGGTTGGGTTGAGGGAGGAAGGTGGTGTTAAGGAGAAATGTGGGTGAAAGGGAGGAGTGTGTGGGAGGGGGATGGGTTGTGAGGTAGAGGGGTTAATTAAGGATGGGGGTTGGGGTGTGGGTGGTTGTGATGTTTTGAGGGTGTGGGGGAGGTTGGGTGGTGTTTGGTTTGGGAGGGAGAGATTGGGAGTTGGGTTGAGGAGTGGGGTTGAGGTGGTGGTAATGTGAAATGTGGGGGGAGGGGGGGGTGTGTGTTAGTGGGTGGGTGGTGGGGGGTGGGGGTTAGTAGGGATGGTGTGGATGGTGTGGTGTGTAGTGTGTTGGTGAGGAAGTGAGGATGGTGGATAGAAAATTGGTGAGATTAGGGAAGTGATAGTGGATGAAGTTGAATGTGAAGAGGAATGGGAGAAATATATGGGATGGGGAAATTTGAGGGGGATGGAAGGTAAGGAGGAACAAGGAGTTCTAGGAAGGGTAGAGTTGTTTGATTGGAATACAGGGAGGTTGTATCTGGGAAAGAGGGGTGGAGGTGAAGTAATTTTGAATGGGTATGGTGAGGAGGATGAGTCATATAGAGGAAAACTAGGGGGGGGAGGTGTGGATGTTGGGAGAGGGATTGGGAGTAAGGGGTGTTTGGTAAATGGTTTTGTATTAGGTGATTTTAAGACAATTTTGTAGTGATATATGATGGAAAGATGGGAATCAGGTATGGAGGGTAGGGTGTGAGAGATTATTGTTATGTTGTATTTTTAAGGGTATGGTGAGGAAGAGTTGGGTGAGTTGGTGTTTTATGAGGTTGGTTATTGGTTGTGAGGATGTATGCGGGGGAGAGGGAGAAGTTAGACGAGGAGAAGGGAGAGAGGAAGAGATCTTCCTCTGCTGGCTCACTACCCAAACGTTCACAGTGTCTTGGGCTGGGCTTGGCCAGGTTGAACCCAGTCATCTGAACTCTATCTGGGTGGCTGGAGCCCAAGTACTTGGGCTGTTATCTGCTGCTTTCTCAGCACTTCAGTAGGAAGCTGGATCAGAAGCAGAGGAACCAGGTCTCAAATGTGGCTTAAAGGAGCCTGTTTCTGGGCCTGGGAACTCCCCTATGTGTTTGAGTCCCAGGTCAGTGGCAGTTGGGTAGAGTTAGGGACCTAGGTTGGCGTGCAGGCATGGTGCGCTGGTGGACTGTGCTTGAGTCCTGGCAGGGAGGAGGAGTGGGGTCCCAGGGTAGCATGTGTGCCAGAAGACTGACTCTGGGGTCCTGGGTAGATGGGCAGGACTCTAGTCCAACATGCCACTCTGCCAGAACTCCAGGCTGGGGAACCCATGTTCTCATGGGTATGGGGGCTGTGGCTTGATCAGGGAAAGGACTATAGGATGTGTGGGAGGGCGGACCACTGAGTATGTTACAGGTGAGGAATGACTTCCGGGGCACTTCTGCGGACAAGGCCACTGTACTTGCACATAAGTGAGGGAGCTGAGGACGAACAGTTTGGAAAAGGGAATTTAGAGGACTTCTCCAGGTCAAATTGATGCATCCACCCACATAGCAGTCCTGAGCTGGCCTAGTTAGCATCTACCACCACAGACTACCACCCATTGGTGCACACTAAAGTTAGAGCTGAGGGCCTACCTAGCAGGGCTAGATCACCATATCTGCCGGTGAGTGTCAGAACCGGGGGTGGGTAATGTTAGGATGGGCCATAACCCAAATCGGTAAACGAGAGAACCAGGTCTGGGAGCAGATTCTGTGGGGGATATGTGGGCTCACCCCTGTGGAACTGCAATATCTGCTGGTTTGCTCAAGAGTTGGTGTGGGTGACAGGCTGAATAGGCATGATCATGGAATTGCCTGACATCATGTGTACCGGGGTTGGGAATAGATTGGGCTGTTCCAGAATGCAGCACCTGCAGGTGCACCCAGTTAAAGGGTGTGGGGCAGACTGGGCCACAACACCCAGCAGCACACACAGAGGCAGAAACAGAGGGCACAGACTATGTTGGGTAAGGACTTAGCACCTTTTGGCATACCTACTGGACCTGGTAGGGGAACTTGGGGAACTCTCCAGGTCAGCTGTGGCACTCGCTGGGAACATGTGAGTCAGGCCTAGGTGTCAGTTAGGCTGGGCAAGGATCTCTGCTTGTCAGTAGGGTGTGGACTTGGTCAGGGTATGCACGGTGTGGGAGGGGAGTGGATTGGACCGGCCCAGCCAAAGCTTAGCACATTGGCATGTACAGGAACCAGGCTGAAATTTGGGCTATACTTGGCTAGGCTATCATACCTACTGGTTCACATGAAAGCCAGGGATAAGGGCAGACTGGTCAAGGGTAGGATACAGCACGCATCAGCGAAAGTTGGGACCAGGACTGGGCTGGGAAATACCAGGTTGCACCATGGAACAACAAAGGTTGAGGAGGGAGATGGTCTATGCCAGGCTTGGTCAGAGCAATCACTGGCTCACACAAAAGGTATGGCTGGGAGCAGACCTGATCAGGGAGCTAATGAAATACCCCGGCTGGGGTGTGGTTCCTACTGGTGAGCATGAGATCTAGAATGGGAGTGCTGAACTGGGCTGGACATGGCGAACTGGGCTGGACATGGCTGCAGTATACCTTGGCATGGGTGTGGACTGGGCCTGGGGTGTGCCAGACTGCACTGGACTCCAATATTCACTGGTGCTCACAAGAGCCAGAGTGTGTATGGGGCAGGCTGGGCGAGGTCTTGGCACCAGCCGAACCACGTGTGAACTGGATCTGAGTATCAGGGGTCCTCCCGTCCCGCGGAAGAAATCACCCGACACTTGAGAGAGTCTCCAAGGCGCTTTATTCCGATCTTTCGTTGTGTCCGTTAACTCCGTTGTGTCCGTTATGACCGTTAGGACCGTTACGCTCCAGCCCCTCCCCCGCCAAGCCCCCCACTTATCTGTCAAACCTGACCAATCAACTTAAAGATAACCAAGGCACACCAATCAGGGCAAAGGGCCAATCACAGGGCAGGAAATGGTTAGTGCCCCCAACATCTGAGCATGGACCAGGTATGATTGGGTTCTAGCATCCAATAATAAAAGCCAGAATGGATGTGGGCTTGAGGCAAGGCCACTGTACCTGTGAGGACAGGAGGTGGGTCAAGTCAGACTAGGCCAAGCACCCACTGGTGTGCACAAGATCTGCCACTGGATCTCCTCTGTCAGGATGCAGTCTCTGTAGGTCAGTGCAAAAACCATGACTGGGAATAACCTAGAGCAGGCCAGAACACAGTACCCATTGGTATATGTGTGAGTCAGGTCTGGGGGCAGCTGGGTCAGATCAGTTTATAGTATCCACTGGCAGATGTGAGAACCAAGATGGGGTGCAGGACAGGTTAGGTTGGGCCACAACACCAATCAACATTAGGACTGTTCACATTAGGACTGGGACTGGGGGCTGGCTTGTCTGGGCTAGGCTACAGCACCTGCCAGCATGAGCTGAAACTGGGGATAGGCCAGACCCGGCTACTCTACCAGCAAATGCCAAGGTGAAGGGGTCATGCCAGACTGACCACAATACATGTGAGACCCAGGGGGAGGCAAGCCTGGTAGGGGAAGGGCACCTCTACTAGGCCATTGCTCCTGCTGATGAGCATGAAAATTGGGACTAGGGGCAGACCAGGCGGGACAGGACTATGACAACTGATGTAGTGCCTGCATGTGAGCTGGTTGAAGGGGAGAACCAACTGGGCTATGCAACTGTATTCACAGGTGCATGCATGAGCCAAAGTAACTGCAGGGTGGTTGAAGTTAGCTGCAGCATCAGCTGGCATTTGCTAGGAATGGCATCAAGTCATGTCAGGCTAGACTGCAGAACCACCTGGATAGTGCAAGATCTGGGACTGGGCTTTGTAGGGAAATTGTGGGAACATCCCCAATGGGCTGCAGCTCCCACCAGTGAGCATGAGAAACAGGACTGGGGATAGACCTGGCTGGACAGGCGGTAGCACCCAATAGCATAAGTATAGGCTGAGCTTGGTTGCAGCACCCATTGTTGTGTACAAAATTTGGTGTATACAAAAGCTGAATGGGATGCTGGACAGACCAGACAAGACTGCTGTACATGCTGGCATGTACAGGAACCAGGATTGGGGAAGGGCCTAATGTGGAAATCAGGGGTCACCTCGACTGGGCTGCAGTTCCGCTGGTGTATGTGAGGGCTGAGTGTATGGTGGGCAGGGTTGGGCTGAGCCACAGCATCCACTGATTTGCATGACACAGGGGGCTGGAGATAGAACTGACCCAGCAACTCCAAACCCCAGTGTGTGGGTAGGCTGCTTAGATGACACTGAGCTAGACCAGTATTGGCTAGTACACACAGGAGTCAGATCTGAGGTCACCTCAGGTGAGGTTTCTTGGCGATCTCTTCAACTGAACTGCAGACTCAGAACTCCAACCATGGAGAACTGCAGGATCTGTGGACTGACCATGGAGTGCATGTATCAGAACTGGGCGCCCTCAGTAGCTGAAGACAGTGCAGTGCATGCATGTCCAGATGCACAAGGGGGATATGGCAGTTTATTGGGGCCTGCAAAGGACATCTAATATCACAGCAGAGGATGGAGACCAGACAAATTGGACAATTCTCCCAGCCAAGCATTATCATCAAGTGTCTGGGCAAGTGGAGACTGTAGGGTGAACTATGTTAGCCAATGGACTTGGAAAGATTTCCTCACAATTGGAGCAACAAAACTGAAAATATTTCAGAACTATCAAAAGTGCCCAGGCAGAACTCAGGGCACATTGTCCACATCAGGGACCCTGGGATGACATCGAGTGACATTCACCCACCCCAATACTGATGCAGTTGGGATGCTGGTTGTGGCTCTCCCTTCCTCTCCCCTTTCCCCTCAGTTACAGGAAGAAGAAAAGAAAATTGGAAACAAATTGTCAACCAACCTTGACTATTCCTAAACGCTTCCCACCTTACTCAGTGGTTCACACGGGCATGTAGCCTTCTCAACTATGTAAACATAATCAAAAATATAAAGGAAAAAAAAAGGTAGCCTGCTCCTACTCTTCTATTTTCTTTTCCAACCTACAAAATCTATCATCTTTTTCTCAAGAAGGGATGACTGAGAGACGTGGATTTTTTTCCCCATGAGATACAGTATAACATTCTGTATTATGAACTGAATGATGTGTCTAGATTTGAAGCATATGGACTCATGTTGTCACCATTCATTGTCCCAAGTGCAAAGAAAGATGACAAGTCTGATTCCTAGGAAAGAATAAGAGGACACCCAGAGTGGTATCTCTCTTAGCCACTTCCTGGCTCTTCTCTCCTTCCTTCAAGTCCATGTCCAAACCGCCAGGTAAGAATGAGGCAGTGAGTTCCTCCAACCTGCAGAATTGCGGTCTGATGGTGACACATTACTCACTCCTTCTACCTTCGCTCCACCAACCCTCTGCTGGGATAAGCTCAGCCAGGCAGCAGTGGTTGGCAGTAAAGAGGCCTGTGGGTGGGGAGGAGTTGCTGTGCAAGGCATGGCATCTGGGTTCCAGGGTTGGGGCCAGGAGGTCGAAAAGAGCTGCTGAAATGTGCAGACTTTGTCCTGGAAAACAGGTGGCTAAGCTCTGGGAATTGCGGGGAAGGTGCCCAGGCGTTCTTTCAGTGGGGAAGCATGGAGATATGGGGTATGGATGGAGAAGGAAAGAACATTTAATGGGTTGGAGGAACAGAAACCTTGTTTCCTTTCTGACTCCTGAAGTTACCAAAACCTGTTTCAGGACTGCTACATTCCTCATTATTCATGGGGTGGGAAGAGGAAGAAACTGCACTGAGAAGGGTCCAGAGAGGGGGAGAATGTTTGGCTAAGCTTGGGCATGAGTCAGGAAGCAGCTTGAGTAATGGATCCCAGACCTCTGGCTCCCTCTGGAGCTCCTGGAAGCCCATCCCAGGATGGCTGAGCCGTGGGAGTGCTGAGGGATGCTGGTGTTAATGCAGGAGAGCAGCCGTCTTCAGGTTCTCACTTCCCAGTCTCCCTCCGTGCACACAATAAACGGTTATCCCAACAGCTCCCAGCCCCGAGGTGTTCCTTGATCCCTATATAAATGTCCCTGGTACCACTCCCCTCCCCCCAAGTTGTCTGGTAGAATAGGACTTTGGTAAGGACAGATTTGTGTTAGGTGTAGGGTTTTGTGGGGCACAGCAGGTGAAGCTCGGTATGCCCTGCCACATCTTTCTTTGAATGCCCTTGATCTGGAACTTGGTCCTGACTCACACTTTCCCTCCTTTGGGAACATTTATTTATTAAGGATGCCACCAGGTGCCAGGCACTAGGGCTGGAGAGTGGATAGCCCCCTCAGGTAAACTTGTAAAGAAGAGCCCTCCTTGATGAAATCATTACACATTTTTAGTTGTATCGTGCTGTAATAGACTTACAAAAAAATGGACATATTTAAAGTACAAAATCTGGTAAGTGCTATGATGCATACAGCCAAGAAAACATTACAGAATGAAAACAATGAGGCAGGCCCCTAGCACAGGCGCCTAGCAGATTAAGTCCTCACCTTGAACACGCCAGAATCCCATACAGGCGCCGTTTCTAATTTTGGCATTCCTGCTTCCCATCCAGCTCCCTGCTTGTGGTCTGGGAAAGCAGTGGAGGACAGCCCAAACCTTCGGCATCTTGCACCCATGTTAGAGACCAGGAGAAAGTGCCTGGTTCCTGGCTTTGGATCAGCTCAGTACCAGCTGTTGGGATCACCTGGGGAGTGAATCATCATATGGAAGATCTTGTCTGTCCCTTCTCCTCTCTGTATATCTGACTCTTAAATACAAATAAATAAATCTTAAAAGAAATGAGAGGCAGCATGGTGGCTCAACAGGCTAACCCTTCTTTCTGTAGCAGCAGCATCGCATATGGGTGCCAGTTGGTGTCCTGGCATTTCACTTCCAATCCAGGTCCCTGTTAGTGGCCTGGGAAAGCAGCAAAGGATGTCCCAATTCCTTGGGACCCTGCATTCATGTGGGAGACCCAGAGAAATTTCTTGACACCTGGCTTTCCAGTGGGCAAGCTTGGTGTTTGCTGCTACTTGGTGTCTGAAGCAGTGAACAGGAGATGTTCTTTTTGTAAATCTTTCAAAGAAAAATGAATATATATATAATTGTATTTACAAATAATTAAAAAAATAAGTTGCCCATTCTTGATCCTTCTCTCCTGAAGATTTGTTTCTGTATATTGGAAAGGCAGATTTACGGAGAGAAGAGACAGAAAAATCTTACATCTGGTGGTTCACACCCCAAGTGGCAAATATGGCCAGAGCTGAGCTGATCCTAAGCTAAGGGTCAGGAGTTTCTTCTGGGTCTCCCACATGAGTGCATGGTCCCGTGCTTTGGGGCCTTCCCTGTACTGCTATTCCAGGCTACAAGCAGGGAGGTGGATGAAAAGTGGAGCAGCCAGGACATGAACTAGTGCTCACATGGGATCACCAGTTCCTACATGCCAAGGATTTAGCCATTGAGCCGTTGTCCTGGATCCTAAAAATAGTTGTTTTTTTTTTTTTTTTTTTTTAAAAACACAGTGAACATCTCCATCACTGCCATGTGTCCCCAGTGAGACCTTTATTTCCTCATCCTGTGTTCCTCCACTCACAACTACTGGAAATTGTAGAAAGTACAAACTAATCCATAATCACTTTTGACTTTGAAGGCACAGGCACACACACACAACAAATGAGTTCAGTGTCTGATGAACAGCCAGGTGCTGGAAGGAGCAGCTAAGCTTTAGGACCAAACACCTAGCTCTAGCCTGACAGGTTCAACCATTCAGGCAGCAAAAGCAGAAAGAACCTGAGTGCCAAGACAGGGGCCATGGTCCCACTAAACCCAGGGAGTGTTTCTGCCATGTCCAGTTCCCCCAGCAGGTCCTGGGGTGTCAGTACTAGGACACCTTCTGTTTTACAGCTTGGGTGAGGCCTCTTGGTATGGACCACCCTGAAGGGGTCAACCAAGTGAAGGGATCATTCCGATGAATTATGGAAGCGCTTCTCTAGTGCGTTCATTCACAATGCTTGCAGGTGTTTTTCAGCACTGTAAAAGCAGATTTCCTCTAGCGTCTGTATGTGTGCGACCTCAGCATGGTAGACACAGGGCATCTGGAGGGTCCCAGTGGGATGCAAAGGCAGGGGGGGCAGGTAGTTTGGACAGGGCAGAAGGTTCCTTTGGTGTGTCAGAAAACCCTCTATGTCAGCCGCACCCAAGGGCGCAGAGTCCCACTGATGTGTGTTTGGCCTTGTAGGAGCTGGAGGAAGGCACGTGGGCAGGGCTAGACACAGTTCCCAGTCAGCAGTCCAGGATGTCCCCGGGCCGGCCAAGGCTGACCCTCTCCACGCGTGCCCGCGGCCAGCGCGCCTCTGCAGCTGGTCTGTGCCGGCCCCACGGGGTCTCCCAGGCCCGGGAAGCTCGCGTCCCCGCTCCACTCGCAGAGGAGTCGCTCTGTCCAGCGCCGGCCTCGCCGGGGTCCTCCCTCAGCCGCCGCGGGCTCCGCCCCTTCTCTCTCTCCGCCGTCCCGGCGCGCTGACCCCGGAGGGGGCGGCCCCAGGCCGTGCGCTCGGCCGGGCGGAGCTCCGGGCCCGGGACCAGCTGCGCCTCCAGCCGTGCACACTGCAGGAGCGGCGCCGAGCAGCACGCCTTGCCCGGGCCCCCTCGGCCCCACTCTCGGAGCCTCCGGAGCCCCCTCCCCACCCTCCGCCACGCTGCTGGTAAGTCTCACTCTGCACAGCAAACTTTTTGTTGTTGTTGTTCCTGCAGCCTCGCAGCTCGGCGGCGGGACCGAGAGCTGCCTTGCAGTAGGTGTTGGGGTGGGGGTGCAGGGCCGGGAACAGCGCCTGGAGCTGAAGTGGCGTCGAGGCCGTGGCTGCCCCCTTGCGCGGGATGGTGCCACTCGCGATCTCGGCGGGTTCAACCCGCGGAGACGGAGCTGAGGGGGTGAGCGGCCACTCGCCCACCTCCCCCATTCCTTTGAACAGTTCCCGATAGTTTTCCCTCCATCTTTCCAGTGTCTTGGGCGCCCTACAACTCCTCGGCTCCCCGCCGTGGCGTGGCACCGCGCTCCCCTCCGCCCGCAGGCACTGCGGGCGCGCCTCCTGCCCGCGACCCCCGGGCCCGCGCGCTCCCTCCGGGTCTGGCCGTGTGGCCGGCGGGCCCTGGACGTTTGAGGGGCTGGTCGGGCCGTGGGAAGGAGAGGCTGCGGCCGGGCTGGTCGGCGGCGCGCGGGCGGGCGGGGCGGGCGGGGGTGGCGAAGGGGCCGGACGGGGCGGAGCGGGCGGCATTTGCGGCCGGCGCCGGGGTGGAGAGTTGCGCGGCGGTCCCTGGGCCTGGGCTGGGGCTGGGGCGCCGGCGATGTCTCAAGATGGCGGAGCTGGGCGAATTAAAGGTACCGGCCCCCTCCCCCACCGATCAGGACTGCGCCCAGCGGCGCGCCGAGTCGGGGGAGGCGAGCGAGGCTGGGTGCGCGGGCTCGGGTGGGCGCAGGAGACGTGGCAGGGCCTGGCTGCCGGGGCTGCGGGCGAGGAAGGGCTGCGGCGGGGCTCGGGGGCGGGGCTGGGGCAGATGCAGGGGTGGGGCCGAGGGGAATTGCAGCTGTTGGGGGCCGCGGTGCAGGGGGCGGGGACGCGGGGTCCCAGTGGGGTTTGGTGCAAGGGGCGGCTGGAGTAGGGCCCGGGGCGGGTGCGGGGGAAACGCAGGGATCCGGGCCCGGAGCTGTGAGCGAAAGGGGCAGAAGCCCGGGTGGGAGCGGGGCAGCCGGAGGGGCGACTCCTGGGCGCTGGCCCCGGGATGGATCGCAGGGCCCGGGATGGAGCGCAGGGCCCGGGATGGAGCGCTGGCCCCGGGATGGAGCGCCCCTGGGCCCGCGGTGGGTGCCGAGCCTGGGGAAGCACTGGTGGGCGCGGTCGAGGTGGAGGGGCGGGGCCGAGCCGGGTGGGTCTTGTGGCACCCTGAACCTGTGGCACCCTGGGAAGGTGTGTGGGGCTTGGGTGGAGTTAGTGGGGAAAAGTAAAGCCAGGATAGAAGGGTGATGAGGATGGGGAGAAAGGTGGAGGATAAAGTTTGTTATGGCACCCTGGATGCGGGACCAGGACAAGCCTGGGGGCTGGAGGGCTGGGACCAGGCCTGTAAGGGCTGAGCCCTGTTGGCCACCCAGAGACTTGAGGGAGACCACCTGAGAGAATGTCTGGAAACACTGGCTCCATCCTCCTGCTCCTGGCCCTGCAGGCCAGGCTGGAGAGGGGCTGGCAGTTCTGTCCCTGGCTCCAGCACCCTTCCTGCATTCCCTCAGATGTCTGTGTAGATGTGCATTTGGGTGGTAGAAACACATCTTTTCTCCAGGGCAGAGGCAGGATTTTCACTCTTGGCAGGTGGAGCACACAGGTAAACAGTGGGACATCTGGACTTGGTTGATGCCTAGCGATTCATGGGTAACTCCTGCCCAGCCAAGCTTTGGTGCTGTCTCCCTCTTAGAGAAGTAGGACCAAGGAAGGAGGGTGGTTATGGAAAAGATGCCGGAAAGCCCTTCTGGGTTATGAGCATTGAACCCTGAGCTGAAGGTCCTAGCCACAGCAGCTTGGAAGACTTTGGGGGGTAAGACTTGCTGAGCTGGGTAGGAGGGATGAACTCTGAGGCCCAATCCCCCAGCCACCTGCTCCTGTCCTCCCTGGGAGGCTGTGTGGCCTCAGTCCACTCTCCTCTCCCTCCTTCCTCCACTGCTGTCCTTCTCCCAGGAGGCTGGGATGGGTGTGAGAGCCTGAGAAAGCAGGAAGGGGGATGAGCAGCATCAAGGAGAGACAGGCTGAAGGCAGGCAACTTTGCACAGGGCTCAGAGGTGTCTGAGGAGGGCTTGGGCTTGTTGTGTGCCTTCCCCTCTGCCCATGCTGGGAGCCTGGGGTTGCTCCAACCCTGGGTGGTGGTGAGGCTGATCAAGGGGCCTGAGCTGTGCGTTTGTCACAGCAAAGCATCTTTCCCATCAGGGCCGGTAGCTCAGTGCTGGTGTCAACCTGGGACCAGGTGTCCTGTGCAGGGGAGGATTCTCAAGCTTCCCCATTCATCTCCACAGCACATGGTGATGAGTTTCCGGGTGTCTGAGCTCCAGGTGCTTCTTGGCTTTGCTGGCCGGAACAAGAGTGGACGGAAGCACGAACTGCTGGCCAAGGCCCTCCACCTGCTCAAGTCGAGCTGTGCCCCCAGCGTCCAGATGAAGATCAAAGAGCTCTACCGCCGGCGCTTTCCCCGGAAGACCCTGGGGCCCTCTGACCTCTCCCTGCTCTCCCTGCCCCCTGGCACCCCCCCTGTAGGCTCTCCGGTTCCTCTGACTCCCATGCCCCCTGCTCTCTTGACCCCTGGTACCTTACTGGGCCCTAAGCGTGAGGTAGACATGCACCCCCTTCTGCCTCAGCCCGTGCACCCTGACGTCACCATGAAGCCATTGCCTTTCTATGAGGTCCATGGCGAGCTCATCCGGCCCACTACCCTCGGTACGGCTCTGTGTGTTCTCTTGGGTGTTCTGAACACCATGGTCTCCCCTGTGCCTTGGTATTTGGTGGGCTTTCATCTCGTGGTACCTGCAATCTGAAGTGGGAATAACCGTCCCTTTGTGTCCTCAGCATCCACGTCCACCCAGCGGTTCGAGGAGGCTCATTTCACCTTTGCCCTCACACCACAGCAAGTGCAGCAGATTCTGACATCCAGGTACATCCATTTCAATCTTCCTGCCCTAGCGCTGGGTCATTCTTCCCTGAACCTGTCCTTACACCTTGCCCCTCCTTCCCATTCTGTGGTGTGTCCCTTCTCTGTCCCTGAATACTCAGCTTCCATCTCTGTCTACTCACCCTCCTGGGAGTCGCAAGCTGACATCTTGCCCTCCCCTTCCCTATTACAGAGAGGTTCTGCCAGGAGCCAAGTGCGATTACACCATCCAGGTGCAGCTAAGGTTAGTTGATCTTCTTCGTCTCTTCTGCTGGGTGGGCTGCCACCGAGGCTGGGATGGTGTGACAGATAACTCCTAGGTTCTGTTGCTGATTTGCCAGTGCCCACGCAGGCCCCAGGCCTCTTCTGAATGCTGAGGGCTACTGACATCCACACTGATTTCCTTGCCAGACTCCTCAGGACACTGTCCCCTACACGTCCATCCTCTCTCCTCTCTTGCCAGGTTTTGTCTCTGTGAGACCAGCTGCCCCCAGGAGGATTATTTTCCCCCCAACCTCTTTGTCAAGGTCAATGGGAAACTGTGCCCTCTGCCGGTAAATATTTTTCCCCGTCTTTGGGCACTAACCCTTTCCTGTGTCAGTTTATCATGAGTTGTTTTGAAAAAGACATGCCTGGCATAGTGTGAGACACACAGTAGGTGCTTTGTTTGTTGGCTGCATCTATATTATCTAGAGTATTCAGAGAGGGCTGAAGTACACAGCTCTCAGAACCCAGAGGAGGGTTCTGCATGACATAGTTCATGCATAAAGATTTCTAACCAGTTATAACCCCAGAGCTCAGAGTTGGAAGAAGTGAGGCACCCCTCGTCCCCTCTGCCCCTCCTAGGACTCAGTAAGTGGGTGCTTGTTTCCTTGGTCAATAAATAAGTTCTTCTTTCTCCCCAGGAGTGAACCCCACACACAACCCTAGACAGTGCCCCAGTTTTGTGAATGGGCCCCCAGCCCTTTGCTCAGTGAGTGGGCTGGCCTTTCCTCCAGGGAGTGAGTAACCCGACAAGATATTTCTTGTTGCTAGAGCAGAGCCCCTTCCCACAGCCCCTTCTCCACTGACCAGTCCCTCCCTTCCTTAGGGTTACCTTCCCCCGACCAAAAATGGGGCTGAGCCCAAGAGGCCCAGCCGCCCAATCAACATCACACCCCTGGCTCGACTCTCAGCCACTGTTCCCAACACCATCGTGGTCAATTGGTCATCTGAGTTTGGACGGGTGAGCAAGAGCTAAAGCAGGTGCCTGATGTAGCCTGCAGGGGGAGAAAGGGGAACCATCTATTGCCCTGGGTTGGGAAAATTGGGAAAGTATCTTTCTTTTATGGGTCCCTCTGCTATGAACCCGCTATCTCCCATCTTACTGGGACAAATGGGGATGATGGTGGCATAAGAAGTAGAGGCTAACTGTCTCCCTCCCACCTCCAAGTAGAATTACTCCTTGTCTGTGTACCTGGTGAGGCAGTTGACTGCAGGGACCCTTCTACAAAAACTCAGAGCAAAGGGTATCCGGAACCCAGACCATTCCCGGGCACTGAGTGAGTAGCATCCTTCTCTTCTTTCTCCCTCTGATCTGGATCCAAACCTTCTTGGTCATTTAGCTTTTATAATCAAATCCATACCCTATGACAGCTTCCCTCTCTCATGAGTCCCAATGTTTCTCCCTCCAGTCTTCTTGTTTGAGCAGTTGGCCAACCCCAGTGCATTCTCCATCACACATGTGCTTTTTACCACACAGAGCCCAACCCCAGCCCCGCTAGACTGGATTATCTGGATTGGAAAGTCTTAGGGGTCAACTGCTTTCACTTCACGTGATGTCCAGCTCTACGTAGATCATTTCTAACATGGTCGCAGGTCCTCTAGCTATGTGTAACAGCGTTGGGGATGGAGAAATGCCCCCAACAGCCAGCCTTCATAATGCACATTCTACACCACACCCCTGCAACATCCCCTTGTTCTCCCCACCCGTTCCCCAACTCAGCCAGAGCCATCTGCTGCTGGCCATACCAGCTCCTGGGTTTCTTCCACCTTGCTGGCCCCACCACTCTTCCCCCATTGTTGTTTCAGTCAAGGAGAAACTGACCGCTGACCCTGACAGTGAAGTGGCTACCACGAGTCTACGGGTGTCGCTCATGTGCCCGGTGGGTACTAGAGAAGGGGAGAGTGAAGGGGGTAGGGCTAATCCTCTGGACCTTGGGGTCTCTGACTGCAGAACTCCTCTCCTCTCAGCTAGGGAAGATGCGTCTGACTGTTCCTTGTCGGGCCCTCACCTGCGCCCACCTGCAGAGCTTCGATGCTGCCCTTTATCTGCAGATGAATGAGAAGAAACCAACATGGACATGTCCTGTGTGTGACAAGAAGGCACCTTATGAATCTCTTATCATTGATGGGTAGGGCCATTCTGCTTCCTTTTACTTCCCCCCTACCCCACTTTGTTTAATCTTTGGAGAGGCAGTGACAGAGCGCTCCCATTTGCTGGTCCACGCCCCTGAAGGCTCCCGCCAGCTGGGTCTGGTGGATTGGTGTGCAGTTGGGAGTTGGAAACTCAGTGTAGGTCTCCCAGGTTGGTAAGGGAAGCCCAACTCCTTGAGCCATCACTTGTTGCCTTCCAGGGTCTGAAGTGGTGGAAGCTAGAATTGGGAAGCAGAGTCAGGAATTGAACCCAGGCACTCTGGTAGGGGGCAAGTGCCTCTTATCCACCAGCCAAACACCTGTCCTGAACCTCCTTTTAATACATACAGCTTGTCTCTCACCAGGAGAACCTCAGCTCTTGCCTTCTCCCTCTGCTAGTCCATGTATATGTATGTAGAACATTAAGGACTTCATATAGATAAGGCATCATGATGTTAAGTACTTTGCATGTATTATCTCACTAAATCATAACCCTGAGATAGATACTATCATTACAGATGAGGAAACAGGCTGAGATTCTTACTCAAGGCTGTGTTGTTAGTGAGGGCAGAACCAGTGGGTCGCTTATAGCAACTACCTGCTGTCACCCTGGGCATCACAGTAAGGTCCTTTCTGGGCCTGGGCATGCTGATATGGCTCGGCTCTGGCCCTGTCCGGAGCCTACATTATGGTTCTCATTCCCAGTGCCTTTTGCGAAGTGGTTCATGGGATTCTGAATCTATTTCTGTCTTGTTCCTACACGACACATGATTAGGGCTCAGATGGTGTTTTGAAACTTCAAGTTTATAAAGGTCTTACTTGATGGTAACGACCGGGGAGGTGCAGTCGTTTGGACAGATCCCTACACTACAGATAAGGATTCTTCCTTCTATCACAGGCAGGTGAGGACAGGCCTCTCCATGAATTCCCATCTCTTCCTTCCCCCAGCTTATTCATGGAGATTCTTAATTCCTGTTCGGATTGTGATGAGATCCAGTTCATGGAAGATGGCTCCTGGTGCCCAATGAAGCCAAAGAAGGAGGCATCTGAGGTTTGCCCCCCGCCAGGGTATGGGCTGGATGGTGAGTGACCCCCTGTCCCCAAGATGAGCTCCACCTTGGATGGCCTCTTCTCTGAGACAGTCTTCCCACCACCTGCAGGCCTCCAGTACAGCCCAGTCCAAGAGGGAACACCATCAGAGAATAAGAAGAAAGTTGAAGTCATTGATTTGACCATAGAAAGCTCATCAGATGAGGAGGATCTGCCCCCAACCAAGAAGCACTGTCCCGTCACCTCTGCTGCCATCCCAGCCCTACAGGGAAGCAAAGGGTATGAGAAAATGGTCCGAGTCTGACAGGGGAAGAAAATCAGGGGTGCTTTCTGGTCACTGGGAAGACCTTGGGCCAAGGCAGAGGACACTGGGAAGCTGAATGGGGTGAGGGCATCTGGTTAGCAGCTGCCCAGCGCCTTCTCTTTCCTCAGAGTCCTGACATCCGGTCAGCAGTCATCCTCGGTGCTACGGAGTTCTGCTGTGGGCACGCTGGGTGGGGATTTCCTGTCCAGTCTCCCACTGCATGAGTACCCACCTGCCTTCCCCCTGGGGGCTGACATCCAAGGTATGACTCTGCTGCCCCCTCCCTAGAAACACAATACAACCCTTTCTGCTCGCCAGAAGACAGACTGGAGTCCTAGAGATGGTCTGTCTTCTGGCACTGAGGTTTGGACAGGAGGCTGACGCTTGGTTCCTTTTCCTGCTAGGTTTAGGTTTGTTTTCTTTCCTTCAGACAGAGAGTCAGGTAAGCTGTGCCCTCTCCCGTGAAGATCTGCTTGCTGGCGCTTCCCTGCTAGCACTGGTGGGCCCCCTCCTTCTCCCATTTCCTGCAGAGAGCCACAGGATCTGCTTTTCTCCAGGGGAAGTGGGGCGTGGGCAGCTTCTCCCCGTGCCCCACCCTGCTGATACTTCTCAGATTCTCACATCTCCCAGATGCCATTACAGCTCTTCTTTGGAGATCCTAGTATAGCTCTGGGCCTGCCTGCTAACCCTCCCCCACTCGTGTGTATTCAGAGCACCCGGCGTGTCCTGACTGGACGGTCCACATATTTCAGACACCCACACCCCGGAAGGGCTGTGTCAAGGCCAGGGAGAGGGGTGGTGTATTGGGTAGTGGTGGTGAAGAGGCGGAGAGGCTTCTTACCTCTTGGACAGTCCCTGCGGATCACCAGGGTTGGTTTTGCCCATGGCATGTCTGTGGCAGGAGTGATGGGGAGGTGGCTCTGGCTTCATCAAGTCTGACGTGGTGCCCTTGATTCCTCCCAGCACTATGGCCCCTCCGTCATCACTTCTCTAGACGAGCAGGATGCCCTCAGCCACTTCTTCCAGTACCGAGGGACCCCTTCCCACTTCCTGGGCCCACTGGCTCCCTCACTGGGGAGCTCTCACCGCAGCTCCACCCCGGCCACTCCTCCCGGCCGGGTCAGCAGCATCGTGGCTCCTGGAGGGGCTCTGAGGGAAGGGCACGGAGGAGCGTTGCCCTCGGGCCCCTCCTTGACTGGCTGTCGGTCAGACATCATTTCCCTGGACTGAGTTTCCTGGATGACGGACCCTTCGCTGCCAACCAGCCCCGAGTAGGTGTGCTTTGTGCTTGCCACCTTGACCTCTCTAGGCAATTGGGTCAAAGGTCAGATCCCAACTTTGGTGGACCAGCTCCTTTTGGCCTCATCATTGCCTGAAAGGGCCAACATGCAAAGGGTTAATATTTAACCTCTTTTTAAGGACACTGAGGTCTATTTTTGGAAATGTCCTTCGGATGGCCCGCACATTCCTTTGGGTACCTAGGCAGTAGGAGGCAAATGGGATGGGGCATGAGCGTGGAGGAAGGACTGACCACTTGGCCTTGATTTGGGGGGGAGGAGCTTGTCTCTTGTCCCCAAACTCATAGTCATTGTTTGTCTGTTCCATTCTCTTGGGTTACACAGACAAGGCGGAGAAACTGAGAAAGGCGGTTTCAGAGAGGCACAGAGAACTCTATTTTGGGTTGTAGATATTTTGTATATAAATAAGAAAAGCCAAAATACTCCAAAGATGACCTCCCTGACCTATTTCCTGGTGTTACTGAGGAGGAGATAAGGCCTTAGCCATGGTCCTGAAGGGTTTGGAGTGGGTGGGGTGGGGGTGATCCTAGCCTCCTGCCTGGGTCTCCTATTTATATATTTAAGTTCACAGTGTTCCTTATGCTGGCCAGCTTGGGGCCTAAGCTGCCAGAGGCCACAGTCCTGCGGCTGGGCCCGGCTTATTCTGCACCTTTCCTGGGAAGTGGGGGACCCCTGTCCCTCCTTTTTTAGGCTCCCCAGGGTTTAGGATATATGTTGTAATTTTACTTTTTATTTCCCAAACTGTATCAGATTTCTCACCCATAATAAAGGTTGTCAATGTCCTGTGAGTGTCACAGAAGTGAGCCAGAGAGGGGATAATGCGTTTTGCTCCCTAGACACCCGATGTTGGGGAGGAAGGTCTGTGTTCCGTTCTTCCTGTGTCAGCCTGGGTCCACATGAGCTCCACCTTCACGTGGCAGTGGGAGGTGCCACACTGAGGATTTCCAAAAACAGCCGTTTTTCCTTCTTTTCTGTCCCACGCCTGGCCCGACACCAACCCAACACCCCAGTGCTGCTCCTTACCGTTCCCTGCCCAGATGCTGCAGCCAGAGCCCCAGGGCAAACTTGGTGCCACTGCTGACCCTCTCCTGGTCCTCCGCTGCCGTGGGAGGGGTTGTGCGCAGCAGCAGGGCCAGCGGCAGGGCCAGAGGCTGCGTTCCTCCCTGCTCCGTGAGTTCCACAGCACTGCAGGAGGACAATTCCTGTCTGGGCTCTGCCTTGTTGCTTGGGACAGACCCTGGTGTGTCAGGTCCTCCACTCCTCCAACTCTTGCAGCAGGTAGGTGTGTGGGTGCTGGTTGGCTGGCTGGCAACTTCATTTTAGAAAAAAGAAGCAACTTCAAGGATGGTTACAAGGCTCCTATGAGAGAGCTCAGAGTCCAGCCCAGGATGTCTGTGCTCACCACAGCTGGAGGGAGAACCCTTGTGGTTTTGATGATCAGTGTCGTGGACTGCATGTGATGTCCAAGTGAGCAGCAAACCAGTGCACTCCCTATATCAGTACAAGGTGCCAGAGAGGACAGGGGCTGCCCTGCACGGGGTGGGTGGGTGGGTGGGTGGGTGGGTGTGTGTGTGTGTGTGTGTGTGTGTGTGTGTGTGTGTGTGTGTGTGTGTGTGTGTGTTGGAGTGTCAGAGGCTCATGGAAAAGCTACTTACCTGACAGAGAGTGGCAGGTCCTGGGAGAGACTTCCGGGCGTTTCTGTACCATCCTCTGTGGCAGCCACTGCAGCCGCCACATCTGGTCCCAGCCACGTAAAAGCACTCACCTCACTTGGGTTTGGTTGGATCCTGGCCTAGATTTAAAAAAAAAGATCCCTTGGTCATGGCTTCTCTGCCCCAGGAGGCCTGTCTGCAGGTGGAATGCACAGAGACCAGGGCAGGACCTGGGAGAGAACCTATGGGATGCTCCTGGCTACCCTGAAAACCCCATGGCCACCCCTACCTGCAGTTGCAGCTGCGACTCCTGGGAGACCACAAGCAGGTAGAGAACGACGTGGTGGGATCTGGGGAAACCCCAGCTCAGCCTAGGGGGATACGCAGACTGAAGGAAGAAAAAGCAAAAGTTGGGGACTTCCTGTTTCACACCCTCCCCACCTCCACCCCTGTAAATCCAGCTCTAGGGTGAATCAAAAATGCTGGATGGGAGAGGTGATGCACGAGGGACCTGGGTGAAGGTGTGGCTTTGGGACACTGCCTTTTCTCCTGTGGCTAAGGCAGGCTCTGTGGACTTGGTGGTGGGGTTAGTGGTGGCAGGCTCACCTCCCACAGTCCTAGAGGGACCCAGGAGAACTGGCCCTGGGGCAGCTGTAGTCCAGTCTCCTCCTGAAGCTCCCGAAGTCCTCCCTCCAGCAGCTGGGAGTCAGAGAGGACAAGTCAGGGTGGCCAGTGCCTGGGTACTTCTGCTACCCCTCAGCCCACAGTCACAGGTCGCAGCTCAGGGAAGGGTGCCCGCTGGGCCAGCCGCCCAGTACCTCCTCATCCGCTTCCATGTGCCCACCTGCAACGGGAGTAGAGACCAAGAGGTGAATGGTGGTTGTCTTCACCAAGAGTCCCGCTTGCAGCTTCCACACTGCCCCATCTCCAAAGTTCCTCCCGAATGCAGCTGTGGCTCCTGACTGTGGACAGCCCACATTTCTGGGCCTGCTAATCTATCCCGAGACTGGGAATCACAGTGCGGTGGGCGGTGGGCGGTGGGCAGGGCAAATTTCTTTCTTGGCCTTCGGGACATGCGCCCTGAGCGCTCACCTGGCGGCACCCAGAGGTTGGGGTAAGTTCTGAGGGTGCGTGTCCTCCTGGTCAACAAGACGGTCTGGTCACTGGACTGCAGGATGATGGCCACGCCCAGGTCCACACCTCGATGCGTGGGCAGCTCGACCCCGGGGGACCTGGGCTGCTGCTGTTCCAGGGCAGCGAAAGGGCAGAAAGGGGGTCGCTGGTGGAAGAGAGCCTGGGTTAGCATCTCAGCAGCCGAGCACGACTCTTCAAGATTCGGGCGCCACCACGCGGAACAGCAAGGAGGCCGGAACCCCTCGCCTCTCGCCGGAGGTTTTCCGCCCGGTCCGGTCCCAGGTTCGGACTTTCCCCTCCCCCGTGGCGGCCTCCCTCCTCCCGACCTGGAGCGGAAGCTTAGCCGCGGAGCCTGGGAAAGGCTCTGCCGAGAGGACGAGCCGTCCTCCTTCGAAGCTGCAGTACGTGGGCCACGGCCCCAGCCCCGGCCCGGCGCCCAGGAGGCCACACACACTGCGCGCGAAGCTTACGGCCTCCGGACGCCCGGACTGGAGCAGCAGCACGCGAGCCGCGGCCATGGCACCCGCCTCGCCGCCCCGGGGCGCCCTCTGCCGGCCGCGCGGCGCCTCTCGGGCTCGGGAGGAAGCCGGCTTTCCCCGAAGTCCCCGGAAATGCGAGGCTGAGCTTTAGGAAGTGGACCATGGGTGCGTTGTTAACAAACCTCTAAATCCTCAGTTCCTGTTTCCTCCCTGTTGCTCTCTTCTCTGTTTAAGGACAAGATCCCCAGACCCAAACATTTCCGAGTTCACATGCACCCAGTCAGTACTTTACACATCTGTTATGGCAGGTATCAGAATGAGTCCCGTGCCTCTAAGCAAACATGTAAGAAAAAACCATTTTTTAAAAGATTTATTTATTTTTATTTCAAAGTCAGATATACAGAGAGGAGGAGAGACAGAGAGGAAGATCTGTCCGATGATTCACTCCCCAAGCGGCCACAATGGCCAGAGCTGAGCCGTCCGAGGCCAGGAGCCAGGAGCTCTTCCAGGTCTCCCACACACGGGTGCAGGGTCCCAAGGCTTTGGGCCATTCTCAACTGCTTTCCCAGGACACAAGGAGGGAGCTGGATGGGAAGTGGAACAGTGATACGAACCGGTGCCTATATGGAATCTTGGTGCATGTAGGTGGGGACTTAAGCCACTCTGCTACCATGTTGGGCCCCTGAAAAATATTTTTGACTTTCCCTGCTGTCCTGATATATTATTCACATGACAACAAACTGCTGCAGATTTTACCCTCTCAAACTCAGTTTTCTTTTTCTCTTTTTCAATTTGAAAGGGAGGGCTGCAACAGCTGGTAGTGGGCCTGGCTAAAGCCAGGAGCTTCTTGTGGGTCTCCCATGTCAGTGCGGGGGTGCTGATTCATGGGCCATCCTCTGCTGCTTTCCCAGGTCATTACCAGGGAGCTGGATGGCAAGTGGAGCTGCCAGTTTTACCAGTTATGCCACAGAGCTGGCCCTCACAGTACTTCTCAACTGTTGCTTATGCCTTCTCACCCCTACTTCCTTGCACTTATTTCCTTCCACAAGGCTCAAGGTTATCATCTTTTTTTTTTTTTAAATTGGAAAGGCAGATATACAGAGAGGAGAGACAGAGAGGAAGATCTTCTGTTTGATGATTCACTCCCCAAGTGAGCGCAATGGCTGATGCTATGCTGATCTGAAGCCAGGAGCCTCTTCCGGGTCTCCCACGTGGGTGCAGGGTCCCAAAGCTTTGGGCCGTCCTCAGCTGCTTTCCCAGGCCACAGGCAGGGAGCTGGATGGGAAGCGGGGCTGCCAGGATTAGAACCAGAGTCCATAAGGGATCCTGGGGCGTGCAAGGCGAGGACCTCAACCAACTGCACCATGGCACTGGGCCTAAGGTTATCATCTTTGTATCCCTAAGGCCTGGCCCACTACCTAGCATATAATGGGTGCTCAGCATGTAATGGTCAGAGGCTTGAGGACAGAGAGATCCTCTTATTTGTGTTGGTATTTTTGTCAATTAGGCAGCAAGCTACATCTGCCAACCCTTATACTAGTAAGGTTTGGCTAAGCTTGCTTAGGAATTCATGAAAAGGCTTGGAAGAGCAGTTCCATTCACCTTGGCCGTGGGCTGGGAGACCCCTTAACCACTCTTGTGACACGCGTAGAGTGTGTCAGAATTAAAATACTCCATGGTGACCGTGATGTTATCCCTGTACAGCCTTGCCAAGTCCTCGGGCAGCGTCAGCATGGCTGTCAGCCACTCGGGCTCCAGTTCCCCATACTCACTGCTCCCAAGGGCATGCCGGATCAGATGTGTGGTGGCTTTGTGGTCAGTGGCGGGTGACCCGTGGGCTTTCCTCTGCAGCAGCAGGCTCTGCATGAGCCCCGGGTTGCTGCATCCCTGGGCCAGGTCGGACTTGTTGTGCCCGCCCACCTCGGCCACAAGCTTCACTACATCCTGATTGCTTAACCTGTCCCAAAGGCCATCAGAGGCCAGCACCAGAAACTTATCCTGGGGCCTCAACTTGTGGTAGGTGACCTCGGGCCTGGCTGTCAGGTAGGAGACGTGTAGTAGTGGAGGGGCGTGAGCTGGTAGATGCTGAGGGCCTCCGTGTCAAAGTTCCTGCCCAGGACGCCGTGCTGCAGTTCCTGGCTCCACTTGAACTGAACATCTCTGAAGGCTCTGCAGGGCATCAGGATGCCCAGCAGCCTGTCCTCCATGACGATGGTCCTTCTTCTGATGCCGGGTGCTCCTTCTTCAGCTGGGAAAGCTTGACCAGGTTCCAGGCATTGTGATCACAGCTAAGGGGCACACAAGTTCACAGGCCATTGTCCTGCACTCCCAGGATGGCTCGGAAGTTGCCAGCGTTTGCCACGTGTAGGTGTACCCCATGGATGTGAGCCATGCACGCCGTTGCTCCAAACACCACCTGCAGCGACAAGTTCATGGCCATCTCATATTCCTGGGGAGCCTGGACTTCCTGCGAGACGTCAGAGTCCAATCTCTGGCAGGAGTGTACCAAGGCCTCTGTGCTCAGGCCCATCACCACGTGCAGGTCGAGCAGCTCCTGCCAACAGACCCACAAGTGGTCTAGATGCACCGGCATGATGTCCTCGTGGATGCTCTGCCCTGGGTGCTCGAGCCACTGCAGGATGGGCAGCACGGACTTCATGTTTTCCATGGCCTCCTCCATCTGCTCCAGGGTCTGCTGGAACATCAAGGACACTGCCATGTGGCACAAGAGCATCTCGCTCATGGCTTGCATGCACGTGGGACCCCATGTCTGTCGAAGATGCCACTGGTCTGGGAACAGGAGGCCATGTCCTACCAGTCCTCCACCGAGGGTCTGGCAGCCAACTGGTTGCTCTCAAACCATAACACCAGATTTGAGGCTCCTCCGAGAGCTTGGTACGCAAGCTCACCGGCGCAAAGCACCTCTTTGACCTGCAGGGGGCTGAGTTGCAGGTTGAAATTTTCCTGTCAATGTGTCTGCAGGATTTTGGCAGTGCCAAGCCACCCCATGGGGCTTTGTCTCTTAGGGCGGACAGTGCTTGCGAAAAGGGTTTGCATTTTGATCAACTGCTGGACAAGACATATCTGGAGTACAAACGGCTGCTCTTTTGCAGTGCAGCCATGCTGTCTCGCAGAGGTTAACATCCAGTAGGACACAGAACTTGACATTCTGAAACTCGACCTGCAGTCCTTCAGCCCAAAGGAAACTGTTTATACCAGACTCTCGGCCTCCTTGTGCGCACTGGTGCCATCGCTGTTGGGAGCTGCTGCTGCAGATGCCACCACCACTCGGGCCGCACTCAATGTTTAAAGCATTAGTAGAAATACTGGTAAGAGAAAACACATTATAAAACCGTAACTTCTTTAAATTTAATGAGTTAAAGCTGTGGGGACAATTTTATCCATGATTCTGAGAAAGAACTTAAGAGTTGCCACTTTCTTTTTTTTTTTTAAACATTTATTTTATTTTCATTGGAAAGGCGGATATACAGAGAGGAAGATCTTCTGTCCGATGATTCACTCCCCAAGTGAGCGCAACGGCCGATGCTATGCCAATCTGAAGCCAGGAACCTCTTCCGGGTCTCCCACGCGGGTGCAGGGTCCCAAAGCCTTGGGCCGTCCTTGACTGCCTTCCCGGGCCACAGGCAGGGAGCTTGAAGGGAAGCGGGGCTGCCGGGATTAGAACCGGAGTCCATATGGGATCCCGGGGCGTGCAAGGCGAGGAGGACCTTAACCACTGCACCATCACTCCGGGCCCAAGAGTTGCCACTTTCAAGGGGAAGAAAAAGGCAACTTATCATGAACTTACTGTAGCCAGGCAATGTGCTAAGTGTTCCATGTATGTAACTTCAGACATACTGAAGCCTGGGGTTGGCAAATACTGCTTTTAGCCACACTTGAGTTAGTGTGCCTGCTTAGACTATTCCACCTACTAGCCCTGAAATTAGTGTCCTGCCACTTCCTGCCCTGTACCCTTACATGATGTCTATGTGTGTTAAATACTAAAGCTCAACAAAACAAAGAACAGCCATTGACTTTTTTATTTTATTTTTTGTAAGTCACTGACTTTTGAGAATGGAACTATTTAGGAAAAACTTCCCTACTGCCAGAGATGCTCAAAAGTCTTTGGTGAGATCTTGATGACATTTGACAGATGATTAATTTGGTTTATCCAAGTTTCTTTCCAGTGTTGAGGGTTTGAAAGAATAAGATAAAAAAACAAATCAGTCAACTTTGACAGGTCAAATTCTTGCCACCTAGCTGATAGGTGTGGGGTGGCAGGTCTTAGCACAGGAATCTGCAACGAATGCATCCAGGCAACTCCTTGCTTTTCTTTCCACGGCTCCACAATGTCTAAGAGTGGCTTCTTCTGGGTCACAGTCTCTTCATGGTGCTCTCGATGTAGGACTCCAGCAGGAAGATGGTTTCATCCACCTGGATCTCACTGGCATCCAATCTGTGGGAAGAAGCGAAAGCATCTGCCCAGACTGAATTTTAATTAGCATCTTTATTTATATTTAAAAATTAACTTATCTTACTATAGTTTTTAAAAAATTTTTAAAAGATCAATTTATGTATTTGAGAGGCAAAAGGAAAGAAACCGTAGAGACATATTCTCTTTGCTGATTTACTGGCCCCAGTGGCCAGGGCTGGGTTTTATTGAAGCTAACAATCAGGAGCTTCTTCTGTGTCTCCCGAGCGCATGCAGAGGCCCAAGCACGTGTCTAGCCTCTGCTGCTTTCCATGTGCATCAGCAGGGAGCTGGATCAGAAGTGGAGATGCTGGGACTTGAAATGATACTCATCTTGGATGCTGGTATCATAGGCAGTAGCTTACCCTGATATGCCATAACGCCGGTCCCTACTTTATCTTATTTATTTGAAAGAGAGACAGATTTTTCATCTATCGATTCACTCCCCAAATGCTCTCCATGGTGCAGACCAGGCTGCAGCCAGGAGCCCAAAGTCAATCCAGGTCTCCCTCATGGTGGCAGGGACCCAAGTGCTTGCCATGTACTGGCTGCCTCCCAGGGTATGCCTTAGCAAAAAGCCAGACTGAGCAGCAAAGCTAACACTCAAGCTCAGGCATTCCCATATGGGATGCAGGTGTCTTAATCAATCACTGTGCCACACGCCTACCCCACATTAGCATATTAGAGACTGGAGCCTCTGGCCATGGAGAGTTGCTTGTGGGTAGTATGAAGGAAAATGAATAGCTGCTTCACTGTCCAAATGCCAGAACAGCCAGGATAAAACCAGGAGCGTAGAACTCTCTCCAGGTCTCCCATGTGGGTGGCAGAGATCCAAGCAATTGGATTATCCTCCACTGCTTTTTCAGGCAAATTGGCAGAGTTAAATGGGAAATGGAGTTGCCAGAATTCGAACCAACACGCCTATCAAATGCACAGGCAGAAGCTTTACCCACTGGGCCACAGCCTTGCCCCCGTTTTTGAAATCCTGTCTTATAGGACCATGTCTTCAGTGAATAGGAGTAATTTTATTTCTTCTTTCTCAATGTGGATGCCTTTAGCTTTTTTTACCTGATCATCCTGACTAGAAACTCCAGAAAAAGGATAAACAGAAATGGAAAAGCAGACATCCTGGTCTTATTCCTGGTCTTTTGAAGAGCTTTCAGTCTTTCTTCATGAACCTCTCTATAAAGTATGCTTTTCCAATAAAAATAAATCAATCTTAAAAAAAAAAAAAAGAAACAGTGCTTAGAGAGAAGGAGAAAGTATGGTGACAGAAGTGAAGCTGAGGGTATCTTCAGAACTGTTGGTGTTTTAAGCTGTTGACAGAGTGGGCTTAGGTTTGCTCATATCTATTTCTGATTTATTTATCTTCCAAGAGTTATAGAGAGAAAGAGCCAGAGAGCTCTCCCATTTGCTGGTTCATTTCCTAGATGGCTGCAATAGCCAGTGTGCTGGGCCAGGCTGGAATCAGGAGCTTCATTTCCGTCTTTCATGAGGGTGGCAGGAATCTAAACATTTGGGCCATTTTCTGTTGCTTTTCCGGGCCACTATCAAGGGGCTGTATTGAAAGTGGAGCAGCTGGGACTTGAACTGGTGCCCATAAGACATGTCAGCATCACAGGCAATGGCCTGCCTTGCTATGCCACATGCTGGTTCCTCTGGGAGGCACGTTGGGATGGATCTGAAGGTTACGATACTCACTTGTTGACATTGCGTTTCAGCGTCTCCAGCTGCTGCCGTTCAGGGGCTGTGATCATCTCCTCTATTTCCTGTAACTGGGCCTCCTCGGCCCCAGTGGCCTGCATAGATGCAATGATGGCCTCCACCCTCTGAGACTTTTCTAATAGACGCCTGTCAGACAAACAGAGCTCTGAGCATGTTCTTAAACAGTGGAGATTCCCTTACCCTTCATCTCTGAGGCACAACTCCCCCTTTACCACATTCTTGGTCAAAGTCATCCTTGAAGGATGTTTTCCTACAAACTCCATTGGATATAGTAACTTAATGCCTGAAACCTTCACTGTCTCTCATTTTCCCTTAAAGTCAGTGCGTTTGTATGTTTCTCAAAAGCATCTCCCTGGTGGTATATTAGAAAAAAGTACACTAATGCATGATGTATGACAACTTAAGCCAGTGATTTAGTGCAATTACACTGGTTACTGTCTCTTGGTTTCCATTTCCGTTAAGAAATTTCCCTTCAGGTCCTGGACCTTGAAAAACGTGAAGGACCCAGCTGACAATGCTACTCACTTGTTCTCTTTGGTTTCAAACTGCCTCCTTTCCATCAGGTTGGCTATGCTCTGAGGAAAGAGGAGAGAAACACACAATCTTGTTTCTGTATCTCACGTAGAATGGGATGAAGGACCACAGGCAAGACGTGTGGGATACTGGGGAGACTGTTTGGAGGACTTACCTTGTAGCATCTGTGCAGTAACATCCGGGCAGCTGAGAGCACATTCACAGTATATAAGTAGAAGGTCCTGGATGGAGCATGATCTGGAGTTTTGGGGATTTCCTAATAACTCACAGAAGGAAAAAGAAGAGAGCCAACAGTGTTTCCCACAGCTGGCATGGGTCCCACCCGGAGCCACTCAGCGCTCTCTTTCACTGACACTCTCCTCCACCCTTGTCATTCAGCCCTGCGTTCATGGCACATGGAGAGCTGTGTTGTTCTCCCATTTCAGCACCAGCATCTCCAGTGGGGAAGAACAGAAAGACAACTAACATTTGCTGAGCAATTCTGTGTGTCTGGTAGTATCTGATCTTAACAAACTGAAATCCTTATTAGTCCTTTCATCACTTTTATAGATGTGAAGATGATAGTAGGTAACTTGCTCAGTAACTGGGTAAGAGGCTAAGCCACTACTCCAAAATGTGTTCTATTTACTTCTTCACAGAGTCTACTACACAGTTGTCCAAGGACCCAGCAAATGCTGTTAACAGACTTAATTTTCTACACATTTAAGTCCTGAGGAAAGGGCAGAAGTGGCAGGGAAAAAGGTAGCCTTCTTGTGCTTTAACTTGGTTTTACTCTTTCCTACCAGGCCAGCTAAAACTATATTAACCTTCAAATTCTTTTGATGTCTTGTGAGCCATCTCCTCTGTCTCTAAGGTGGATCTAGAGCTTGTTTCAGGGTTCTGGAGATTTTTTTGTGTCAGAGTTTTTCTCACTCTAGGCCAGCCTCGGTGACTGCTGATTTTTACACCATTGGTTACCTGGAGTGATACGAAATTTTCGGAGAGCATCTTATATAGCATATCTTTTGCCTCCTTTGCAGGAATCATTGCGAAATCTTCTACCTGCTTCTGCTCCAAGTGTTTCTTTTGCAAAACTAGACGGAATATTCTGGCACAGCGAGACCCAAACCTGGAAAGGAATAAAGAAAGCAAATGGGAATGCTGACCAAGATCAGCTTCAGCTCTAATCACAACAGATGGTGTTGTCCTAGTCCACGGGTGCAGCCAGACAAGAGGAGCAGGATTAGGTTCCTTTCACAGCTCCACAGGCTGGTGATGGTACTGTTAATCACAGCAAGGTACGCCACCAAGTGCTGACTTGTTTGAGTGCCACAGTTCTTGCCTGTGTAAGCAAAGGTTTAGGGATACTAGCTAATTTGCATCATTGGGAACTGAACAGATTTGCCAGGGTACAGAGCAGTACACCAGGGATCTATGGCAGGCTAGTGGGAAAATGGGGCAAAGTGTACAAAGCTGGGCTTATATTAGCTGCTTATATAGTGATCAAGTTACATGTTCAAATGGGGTATAGACAAGGAGGGTGTCACCCGAACCCCAGTCAATGACCTCTTACCTCTCCTGTACGACGGATTCCAGAGTGGCTGTGGCCAGGGATGCCAGTGCCTTGTGGAGGTCTTTACGTGGATGATTAAGGTCACTTACTAATGCTTGGTCTGGTTGCTGGGATCTTAGTTTTATTTGTATGTTTCTGTTTCTAACTTACAACTAAAATTTAAATGCTATTAGCATGTAAGCCTCATAAATTTTGTTTACTGAGTGGAGTAAACGGCTGGCTTAACTACGGTTTGGTTGCCGATAAGCCTTTTTAGGGGTAAGCATTTGCTGCAGCAGTTGGCATGCTGCTTGGGCTGCTTGTGTCCCACATGGCAGTGCCCGAGTTCTGAGTCCCACCTCTATTTCTGATTCTAGCCCCTGGCTGATGCAGTCCCTGGAACACAGCAGTGATGGCTCATATGGCTGTGAGCCTGCCTCCATGCATGAGAACTTGATTGAGTTCTGGGCTCCCAGCTTCAGCTTGGATGAGCCCGAGCCCAAACTGTTGTCTTTGGGGAATGAATCAGCAGTTAGGAGATCTGCCTCTCTGTTTCAAATAAAATAAATTTATAAGAAGCACTTTTTACTTCACCATCAATGTAGTTTACTGAGAATTCACAGAAAAATTTTGTATTACTAAATCCTTTTTCTTTTTTGTTTTGGTAAGATGCTTTCTGCTTCATAGTGCAGGCTGCCTGACCACAAGGAACTGATCGGTAAGGATACTGATGACATACACTCCTCCGCCACTGTCGCCAGACTTCCCAACAAACTCTAGCTAGGAAACAGAGAGAGAGAGAAAGAGAGAGAGAGAGAGTTGAGTGGGAGGTAGAGTGATCGTGAGCCCACTGGAGCAAATCTGGCCCATGGTCTACAGCAGGTAGACCTTCTACCAGATGACGCTGGGGAAACCGAGCTGGCTGGGCATAAAATAGGGCCTGAGAACGATACACAGTACTGGTAAATTGTAAATTGAGTACAACAAAGGGTAGGGGGAGAAGCAAAAATGAACTTACAGGGTCATCTGCCAGCAGAGTGAGATACTGATCAAGAACTTGCTTAGAGATGTTGTAACCCACAGGTAGGGATCTGAAGATCTATATAGGAGAAAGGAGAAATGGGCTGGGACTCTGAGTTATTGAAACAGAGAGGTTTTGATTTTAAAATGTATAAAAAAAGCCTGGAAACAATCACAATATATCTGTTTGCAAGACAGAGAGCCACTCCAAATGTCTAGGAATACAAGCTGATGTCAGCCAAGGACAGCAGGGCCCATAAATGGAACACGATGCAGGGCAGCGAGCGAGAAAAAAAACGCATGAGATAGTTTTATAAATACTGGCAAGAAAAGAAGTTTTATATATATATATTGTCATAAAAAAAGTCACACAACAGTATCCATAGTCTTTTTTTTGGAATTAAGAAATACATATATCCACATATAGCTAGCCTATGCATATAAAAAGTATAAATACACACTCTGAACTATTAACAAGGGTTTCTGGATTTTGGATTTAGTAAAATTACATTTTAGATTGAGAACAGGATCAAACAATAAGAAGCACAAATCTTTCAGGTTTAGTTTAATGAATGTTCACAATTGCATACAACAAGATACAGATCATTCTACCACTCTTGAAAGTTTGGGAAGTTTTCCCTAAACTACAATTTTTCCAACCCTGATCAACCATGTATTCATTATTAAAGAACTAAAATTTCTTAAAAAAAAAAGTTTGGGAAATTCTAAGTTTATTTATTTTTATTGGAAAGGCAGATATACAGAGAGGAGGAGAGACAGAGAGAAAGATTTTCCGTCCGATGAGTCACTCCCCAAGTGAGTACAATAGCCAGTACTGTGCCAATCCGAAGCCAGGAGCAAGGAGCTCTTCTGGGTCTCCCACATGGGTGCAGCGTCCCAAGGCTTTGGGTCGTCCTCGACTGCTTTCCCAGGCCACAAGCAGGGAGCTGGATGGGAAGTGGGGCTACTGGGACTAGAACCGGCGCCCACATGGGATCCCAGCCCATGCAAGGCGAGGACCTTAACCACTACACTATCGTGCCGGGCCTGAAACTGTAAGTTTAAAAGGTTTATTTATTTGGAAGGTAGAGTTACAGAGAGAAAAAAGATATGTCTTCCACCCTCTTGTTCCTTCTTCTGATGGCTGCAATGGGATCCCAGCGTGTTCAAGGCGAGGACCCTAGCTGCTAGGTCACCGCGCTGGACCCTATAACTACCTTTCTAATAAAAATAAATCTTAAAAAAAAAAAAAGATGCTAGCTGGAATGCTTGTATCCCACGCTAAAACGTCTGTGTGGGAGTCTCAGCTCTGTGTCTCATCCCAGCTTCCTGTGAACACACACCCTAGGAGGCAGATAGCTGAAGCCCATGGCTCCCTGCCACCCATGGAGGACAGTCAGATGGAGTGCTGAACTCCTGGCTTCAGCCTGGCCCACTCGTGGTGCTGCAGGTGTTAAAGGCTGAGCCAATAGATACAAGGCATCCTCCTCTGTTTGCAATTCAAGTAAGTAAGTACATAAATAAATAAATAAATAAATAAATAAAAAGATGTCCTTCCTGCAAGAGTAAGTTATACTTAGTGGTAGGTACTCCGAGTAACAAAATGGCTTAACTTGTAAAAGCTCAATCCCATGGTCTGTGCTGTGATGCAGTAGATTAAGCTGCTGCCATCAGTGATATTGGTTCAAATCCTGGCTGCCCCATTTGTGATCCAGCTCCCTACTAATGTGCCTGGGAAAGCAGTGGAGGATGGTTCAAGTGCTTGCCCCCTGCACCCACAGGGAAGAAGCCCACGGGTCCTGGCTCTGGATCAGCTGAGCTCTGGCTCTTGTGGCCATTTGGGGAGTGAACAAGTGGCTGGAAAAGCTCTCCCTATCTCTCCCTCTCACAAGCTCCATCAAATAAATAAATAAAATCTTGAAAAGAAAAGAAAGGGAAAAAGAAAAAAAAAAAAAGAAAGGAAAGGAGAGGTTAGGAAAGAAAAGGGAAGGAAAGGAAAGGAAATAGGCTGGATTCCAAGAGACCAGACCTTTTAGCACGCACCATTTAAGAATCATTAATCTTATCAAGCACTAACCCTTTTCTTTCAAGCTCAGGCTTCCGACTAACCCCATGCTCTGTGTGTACTCCCTAAGAGTCTATCAGAAATATGCACAAGAACCCAAACCTACCTCATTGGAAGATAGTGGCTGGGTGAAGGGAGCACTGGAGGGCGTGGTGATCTCACTCATCCGGAGCATGGTCCGCACAATCTCGCTGCTTGTCTGGGTTTGAGGGGTACAATGGAGTTCAGAATTCACTGCGCTGCCCTGGCCCTGGCTCGGGGCCAATGGCTACAAGCAAGCCAATGCCCCAGATATTACCTGGTCCATCCTGTTGGCAATCGCGCTCACAATGGCTTGATTACGGAAATGCTGATGGAACCTGTCAAGGTTGGCCTGCCAGTAAATCCCATCATCCGGAACAGGCTGAGAAGACAGTGATGAGAAACGGATGCACTTTGAGTTGCCAGTGAGGGTCCCTCTGCAAATGTTTGCCATTTTTCTTCTTGTCCAGTGGTAACTGATAGGACACCAATCACTCACGTGCCCTGACAGATATCAACTGCAATGGGTTCTCTGAGCTCACCTTCAGTTTTTTTTTTTTTCTTCCTATTTCAACTCTTCTGCACCTGAGCCTACTCTTGTCACTTCCAGCATGACCTTGCCTCTGATTTCAGAGACAATGGAAGTTATTAGGTCAGACTTAACCCAGCTTTGTGCACACATTCACTCACATTGATCACCATGGAAAATATTCTTCCTTTTGCTTACAGTTTATGCCCATGCTGATGACACCCTACGGTTTGTTCATTTTCAGGGACCCAGCTCTGTATTCCATCCTGCTCTCGAAATCTTTTAACATCTCCTCTTTCTTTTCTACTTTTCGAAAAAAAATTCATTTATTTATATTAAAAAGGCAGATTTTTACAGAGAGAAGGATATATATAGAGAAATTTCATCTGCTGGTTTACTACCCAAATGGCTCCAATGGCCAGAGCTGAGCCGATCTAAAGTAGGAGCCAGGAGATTCCTCCAAGTCTCCTGTGTGGGTGCAGGATCCCAAGAACTGGAGCCATCTTTTTCTGCTCTCCCAGCCCAGAGGAAAAGATTTGGATCAGAAACGAAACAGCCAGGGCTCAAACCAGCACCCATACTGGATGCTTGTGCTATAGGTGGAAGCTTAGCCTTTTTAGCCACCTCACTGGCCCCAGTTTCTTTTTTTACTTGTTTCTTTTGACGAGCTTTTGCCTTGTTCAATGTCTTCTAGAATTCTTCCTGAACCTTATACCATCCCTCCACTTCCTTCCGGTCAGAGCCAACCTTCTCAAAGTGGTGATCATCCTATCTATATACTCATTTTGAAGTGTTCAACCCTTGGCTTTTCTACCATTGCATTAAAATGTCAATTGTTACCAACATCCCAGTCAAATTCCAGCTCTGTCCTTAAGGAGATCCTTGTTGCTACATTCAAAATACATTTTCTAGTTCTGATCTTATTTGAAGCAAATAACTGAGTTGAACACTTACCTCCTCTTAGGAATAATGTGCCCATTAGATTTTATGACAATTTTTTCCAAGGTTTACTTCTAACCTTCCTTAGTCTTCACAGATTCGTCTTCCGGATTATTTAGACATATAGGTTCTTCAGAAGTCTGTCCATAACCCTCCATTCTTTGAAATCATATGCTGTCCTTCGTGTGATTTCACCTGTGTTCCAGGCTTCAACTATTTGGATACCTTTCCAAATCTCTTACTTTAACCTACTGTGCTCTAAAAGGACAGATTCAACTGTATCTGACACTTCTACCTGTTCCCCTAAACTTCTTTTTCCATTTTTAAAGTTTTTTTTAATAACTATGCTATTATTAACAATTTCTTTTTTTTTTATTGTTATCAACATTGTATTATGTGATAGTTTTATAGGCACTGGGGATTCCCTCCACCCCTCCCATACCCCTCCCCCCATAGTGGATTCCTCCACCTTGCTGCATAACCACAGTTCAAGTTCAGTTGAGATTCCTTCATTGCAAGCATATACCTAGCATAAAGTCCAGCGTCTTATTGTCCAGATAAGTTCAGTGGCCTCTTGAACAATTTCTTAAGCTACAATCTTGGGTAACATCCCTAGCTTTTTGCTCTCCCACTTCTGTTATTTCATCATTAAATCTTCTATTTTTTGTTATTTGTTAGATGTATAGTTTTCTTTATCCTGCCATTATCTTATTTCAGGCTCTATGTTATAAACTGATTTTTACAATAGACTGCTAGTTGGTTTTCTTTAAAAACAACAACAACAACAAAAAAACAAACCAGAAGATACTCCAAAGTAATGGAGTGTTCTGCTGAAAAATAAAACTATTAAAAATTTGCTCTGGTTTAAATAGGACATGGCTCCCAAACTCATGCAGATGTTTAATTTCCAAAATTACAAGGCAATGCAACCAAGAAGGTGGGGGTTTTATGTATTTATGGTTTGGGAGGCCCATAAGTCCCTGGGGGTGGGCTCTGGGACAGTAGTTCTCATGACAAGGTTGGGTAAAGACCTGCAAGTTGGGTGCAGCCTCTCTCTGCTTCCGGGTTCACCATGAGATTGCTCCTTGGCATACGCTCTACAGGTGGCTGAACCAAAGGTGACCATGGAACCTTGGACTATGAACCTCAAAACTGTGAGGCAAAATAAATCTCATTCCTTCATTAGTAGCTCACTAATACAGAGTCTCACAGTTAAGACCGTGTACTGTGGTACTCTTTCAAAAATATAAACCCAGGCATGGGTGTTATGACATAGAAGGCAAAGTTAATGTTTGAGATGATCACACCATGAACTCAAGTGCTTATGCAAATCCTGGCCATTCTGCTTCTGACCGAGCTTACTGTCAGTGCATTAGGAAGGCAACAGCTGATGGCTCGAGACCTTGGGTTCCTATTACCCACCCATGCAGGTGCAGGGTCCCAAGGCTTTGGGCCATCCTCTACTGCTTTCCCAGGCCATAAACTGGGAGTTGGATCAGAAATGGAGCAGCCAGGACAGAAACTGGCACTCTTATGGGATCCTTGCTCCTGCAAGGTGAGGATTTAGCCATTGAGACATTGTGCCTGGCCCTTGGTCATACTAATCTTGAGATGCAGTTAGATATCTTCATAGAAATGATTTATATGAGAGGGTATTTTAAAACAGTTCTGTATATCATTATAGACTCATTTCTCACCACTGGGGCTCATGGTGCGATATGTTCCAGCCATGCAGAACAACCTACTTTTTTAAGGACCTGTTTTTGCGTAACTATTATTTCTGGTTCAACCACTGAATCAAGTTAAGTCTCAGAAGGGAGGCAGCAATAGAGTTCACTCTCTTTGTTGTTGTATTCTTGGCAAAACTGAACCAAGTTCATGACCTTGGGAATTGTTATCTGAGTGCTTTCTGGCTTGCTGCAGGGAGAAGACTCCCTAATCAAGTACTATTACCTCTTTGCTGTCCGTGCTGTGCTTCGCCTTCTTGGCCTTGGGCTCCCCAGTAGCATCTTCCTCAGACGACCTCCTCCTTTTCCCTTTTCCTGACAAATACAAAAACTCAACAGTTAGGCGACATCTTGCATGATGACAGGAAGTGACCATCCCTGACAAGGACTCTCTTCATCTCAAACACATCTATAGCTGCTGTTAGGTTAAGAGTTTCCTAGGCTTTGGAACCATAAGAAACTCAAGTAGATGATGAGGTGACATAAAATTCAGCAAGTTTAGGAAAAAATTCCTCATCATTCTCCTTCACACTGGGTCCTCTTGCAATGCTTCCTTTTATAATGAATGGCACCATCATCCTCCCACATGCACAGGTCAGACACGCAGATGTTTCTGGACACCTCTGCCCGCCTCATCCCTTCTGAATTGAATTTTCCAACAGTCTGTTTACATTTACCTTTGTCTATCCTCCCCTCCTGTCTTATTTTTTTGAATATATATTTTTTTATTTATTTGCTTTTATTTTTATTGGAAAGTCAGATATCAATAGAGGAGGAGAGACAGAGAGGAAGAGCTTCCGTCTGCTGATTTGTTCCCCAAGTAGCCGCAACAGCCGGAGCTGGGATTAGAACTGGCATCCACATGGGATCCTGGTGTGTAGGAGGACATTGTGACCCTAGAAGGTCAGTGAGCACAGGATTACAGTTGATTGGACAATATTTGTATGATAAACAACTGAATGGGAGCCTTTTGTGTGACTGCATATCCTTTGCATGAGAACAACCGAATGGCTTTTTGTAGACGATGGGATATCATTTGTATAAGAACAGTTGAGTGGAAAGTATGTGTATGAGAACACTTGGTGGAATATACAGGACGAAAGGACTTCCAATCAAAAGCAGAGAAAGTTGATGGGTTTGTTGATGAGCTAAATACCTCCACCCTAATCCTATAGGACCCTCAGTGTATAAAGTCTGCTGCCCCTAATAAATTTCGGCTATTGATCATCAGTCAGTAGTTCATGTGTGTTATTATCGGCTCGGCTCCGTGCACCAAGTCCATCTCTGCAGGACAGCGACACTGATGTGTGTAAGACCAGGACCTTAGCTGCTGGCTACTGCACTGAGCCCTCTCCCATTCTTGCTAAAACCAGAAAAACCCTTTAAAAATGTAAATTAGACCATGTCACTTCCCTGCTTAAAATCATTTACTGATTTTTCCTTTGCTCTGTTAGGATAAAAAGCAGATGTTCTGTTTGAGCACTTCAAACATTTGGTAAAAAATGAAGTTAAGAGGGTCTGGCATAGTAGCCTAGTGGCATGCAGCAGGATTTCATGTGGGCACCAGGTCTAATCCTGGCAGTACCGCTACCTGTCCAGCTCCCTGTTTGTGGCCTGGGAAAGCAGTGGAGGACGGCCCAATGCATTGGGACCCTGCACCCATGTGGGAGACTTGGAAGGGGCTCCTGGCTCCTGGCCTTGGATGGGCTCAGCTCTGGCCATTGTGGCCGCTTGGGGAGTGAATCATCAGATGGAAGATCTTCCTCTCTGTATATCTAATAAAATTAAATAAATCTTTAAAAATGGAATTAAGAGCTAAGTTCACTTGGATTCAAAATTTTGAACTATGTATGTACAGATTCTATAAAATACAACTTCTACAAACTTTTAGAACATAAGGTGTATGAGGTATATAAGGTCTTGCTTGATCAAGTCCCTTGCCTATCTTGTGACTCTTATTTCTCTCCTTTTTCTTTGTTCACCTTGTTTTAGCTACATTGACCTTGTGTCTTTTCAAATGCCAATTTTTTTTATCACTACTCCCCAAAAAAATCTCATGAAAATTCTCATCCTATTACTTTGCTGGGTAGCTACTACTTTGGCTTCCACTCCCACTCAAATGTTACTTTTTCAAAGAAACATGTGCCCTAAATCCCCAAATAAATCCAGTTCTATCTCATAGTTTTACAACGCCTCCTATTCTTCCTTCCTAGTCTGTTGGGGGCACTGACAATTTCCTGCCCTGTGATTGGCCCTTTGCCCTGATTGGTGTGCCTTGGTGATCTTTAAGCTGATTGGGCAGGATTGACATAGAAGCGGGAGTGGAGGGTGTGGGGGGCGGGGGGGGGGGGTTTGGCGAGGGAGGGGCTTCAGCATAACGGAATCAACAGACATAACAGTTTTTAACGGAAGGTCTGAATAAAGTGCTCTGAGACTCTCTCCAGTGTCAGGTGATTTCTTCCGCCGGACGGGAGACCCCGATAATAGTCCTTATCAGTTTGCCATGTACCTAGGTGATTCTTAGGTTTATGTGCATCTTCTGTCTGACTTGGGCTCCATGAGGGCAGGGAATATGAAATTTTCATTATTATAGGCCATAATGTCTAGCACACAGTGGCACAGTCTCCACTGATTCATTCATTAAATAACACATCAAGGAGAGTTTATAATTAGAGCAAGTCATAATTTCAGGGGTCAAAAATCCTTACCTATCAAGTTGAGTTTAGGAACCATGTACATGTCTTTTTCATTAATAACAAGTGTAGGGGCAGGTGGTGGTGGCTCAGAATCTGAATCTGCAGTGGCAGTCACCAACGGGCAGCGTTGTACAAAGTGCGTGTCTGCCAGTCGCACAAACGTGTTTGATACCTCCGCATAGTCCATTGTCTTTCCATCTGTACAATGGGAGGAAAGAGGCAGGTGAGATAGCTCAGGATAGCTGAAGAGTCACTCCAGTAGCCAATCTGTGCTTTTTGACAGCACCTGTGGACATGGTACTGACCCTCCATGGTCTCTGTGAGCCGATCTGCCACTTTCTTCACAACAGCAGACATGGTCATTTTGCCATTCAACAGGAGCTCCTCAATAATCAGTTCCCCAGTATCACTGTACAGGGTTTTGATGGTGTAGATGTACCGGGGATACCTGAGCATTCGCAACATGTTGCTGCACTGGGCTTCATACTCCACGACACCACGTTTGTGCACTTGGTATGTCACCAGGTTATGTTGGATGAGAACACAAAGGGCTTTCTTCACCTACATGGGACTCAAAAGAGAGGAAAGATCTGGAGACAGAGCTCGTCACTGCTGCCAATTTTTCTGTTCAACCACTTACTGAGCATCAGGAGCTGGTTACATAATAGCATGGGCTTATTCCCATCACCCATGGAGAAGCTGGTAACAGCAACACATCAATGGAAGAAATCGGGGCATTCATTCTCCTATGCTCTGTGCCTTATGACGATTACCTTTTCATTTCTTAGCTAGTACTGAGATTACTACACAATGTGAATAAACAATATATGGAATGGGAAGGGCAAAGATTTACTTAAGAAGCCATGATGAACCGGGAATACCTTGAAAAGTAAAACCATGGGGCCTAAGTTCCACGCTCTTTACCCCCAGGTAATACAGTTCTGATTCTAGGGCAGCCTTTCTCCATTCATTTTCTAGGGAAGGGAATAACAGTTTTCAAAGGCAGGTGAAAGAAACTGATGAAAGAGGAAAAGCACAGACATTTGGGTTGTATAGCTAATTCAGTTATGGATCACACACCTGATCTAGAGATGTCCCTGTGTCATGCACAATTACTCTGAGAGGCTGGCTGCCAGTTCTGATTAGGTGGACTCCAATTTTCTCTACGATCTCCCCAAAATGCTCTTGCAGTAACAAAGAACACAGTTTAATTTCGGCTTGAGTCATTGTCCTAGGGAGTCTCAGAGCTGGGAAAAAAAAAAAAAACACAACAAAATTGTATCATATAGTTTACATGTTTGAGGTACAGCTAGTTATTATAAATTGATGCATTCTTTCTGGAAAACATCTGGACCATATGTAATAAGAGTTTTGGACTCTTGCATAACTTCTACCCAACAATTTTATTTGGAAATTTTGTTCCAAAGACATAATTAAATGCTATCACAATTCTCTTTATAATGCTGAATCCTGGATTCAATCTAATGTATAAATTATGATATACCCATACAATAGGATACTCTGCCCATAATTAAAATGATTCAGTATAATACATATCCATAATGTATTAAATGACAGGAGCCGTTGCAAAAAAATAGTAGACCAGTTAAAAAAAGTATATATAGGATAAAAAGGACTGAAGATTATACATCAGCTTGACGGGATTGTAGGTGACTGAGAGACCCAGGATAAGCTCTTAGCTCCTGGCTTTGAACTGGCTTAGCTTGGCTGCTGCAACCATTTGGGGAACGAACTAGTAGATGGAAGATCTTTCTGTCTCTTTGTTTCTTTGTAAATATGTCTTTCTAATAAAAAAGTTTAAATAAATCTTAAAAAAAGAGAAAGGGTTGGGTACAGGGGCCAGGACTGTGACTGAGGGGGTGAAGCCACCGTTGGTGGCACTGGCATCCCAGGTGGGCACAGTCTTGGCTGCTACACCTCCAATCCAGCTCCCTGCTAGTGCTGGTGCACTTGGGAAAGCAGGACGGACTTCCCAAGCACTTGGGCCCCTGTACTTAACTGGGAGACCCTGTTGGGGCTCTTGGGTTCAGCCTGGGTCAGCCCAGGGTTGTTGTGGCCCTGTGGGGAGTGAGTCAGCAGATGGATAACTTTTAACTCTGCCTTTGAAATAAATAAGTAATTTTATTTTTCTCTTAAAAAGATGAATGTAGATGATTTTACAGTTTATTACTTAATTGTGAAAGAATTACGGTCACCATCACAGCTCATTGGGGGCCAACAATTCCCAGTCCCCAAAGAAACAGACAATTGAGAAGGGTACATTAGGAAATGAAGGAGAGCCCCTAATTAGGGTGTTTGCAATGGGCAGTGAAGTGATATTGCTTGTAGGTCCCTTCATCATAGGGAAGTATTTAATTCTATTTTTTTTAACTTAGTTATTTATTGGAAAATCAGATATACAGAGAGGAGGAGAGACAGAGAGGAAGATCTTCCCTCCAATGATTCACTCCCCAAGTGAGCACAACGGCCGATACTATGCTGATACGAAGCCAGGATCCAGGAACTTCTTCCGGGTCTCCCACGCGGGTGCAGGGTCCCAAAGCTTTGGGCCGTCCTCGACTGCTTTCCCAGGCCACAGGCAGGGAGCTGGATGGGAAGTGGAGCTGCCGGGATTAGAACCAGGGTCCATATGGGATCCCGGGGCGTCAAGGCAAGGACTTAAGCCGCTAGGCCACGCCGCGCCCGGGAAGTATTTAATTCTGACACTTCCACCCCGGGACAAAGAAGACACAGACGCGGGCATAGTGGGTTTTAGGATTCCTCCCTTATCACTGCTGCTACCCGAATTCATTTATTCCTGCAATTCCTTAGAAGCCACGTGTTTGCCCCCTTAGAGCCTGAGGGTTGCCGCAGAGACATACTTCATCCCGTCACACACTGTGCAGAAGCAATGCCCAGACTCCGCGCCAGCCCGGGAAAGGATTTACAAGACGCTCGGCTCCCGGCTCTGCACTCCTCGCCTCCTGCAGGCTCCCGTTCCGGCCCTGGTCTCACGCGTGTGTCCAGATTCAGGGCCCCTCGCACTAACCTCAGGGTCCGTGAATCTCGAGGCTGCAAGCCTAAGGCCCCCCGAGTTGCCCTCGTCGGCTTCTGGCGGTTCGCGGGAGCCGCCGGGGCAGAGGGGGAGCCCACGGCCCTCTGGTCGGAAGAGGATGGCCACGAAGCAGGACGCAGCTAGGGGGGAAAAACGCGTGCCGCTCTACCCCGGCGTGTCGGTGGTTTCCGGGACGCTCTTCCTCCCTCTTCTCGCTGGAAGGTCGGAGGACTGGTCGCGGGCTGTGGGAACGAGCCGGCTGGCTGGAGGGCGGGCCTGGCGGGCGGGCCGCGGGGGCCGGACGCGCCTTCCTGCGCTCCTGGGAGCCGGAGGCGGGACTCGAGGGCTCCGTCCGCGCCGCCCGCCTCTCCGGGCCCGGCGGACTCACGTGACCGAGGCGGGCTGTGGAACGGCGGGCCGCGCCGAGGCGGCGACCGCAGTCCGGGACGTAGCGGCCTGGTGAGGGACGGACGGCTTGGCCCTGTCGGACAGCCGCGGCGGAGGAGAAACATGGCGGAGGCTTCGGCGGCCGGGGCGGACGCGGGCGCCACCGTAGCCGCGCACCGGTTTTTCTGCCACTTTTGCAAGGGCGAGGTCAGCCCTAAACTACCGGTAAGAAGCCCCGAGCCCTCTGCGCCGGGGACCTGCTCAGCTTCCTGGCCCCGATATTCCGGAATTGGGTCCTAAGCCTCCCTGTGTACACCTGCCTCCTCTGACGTCGGTCACCCGAGTGCCTGCCCTGTACCCGAGCACCCAAGCTTCCTCGAACCCCTGCCTCCCATCCCCCCCAGCGTCACGACCCTGGCCCCCCGCATTCCAGCCCTGCCCTCGTTCCCTCTCCACCTGCTCCTCATTCCCTAACCCTGCCTACCTGTCGTCCTCTTTGTGTGTGTCCCTTAGCCAAGTTCTCCCCTGACAACTTTCCCCTTGTGTGCCCTCCTCACCTTGTCTACTCCTCCCGGTGACACCCCCTCCCCCAGTACGCTTTCCGCTGCTGCTTCTCGCCTTCTCTTGCTTTCCTTTTCCACTTTTTTTTTTTCCCACCAGATCCTCTTCCCCCACCCCCCTCAACCTTAGTGGAGCAGAATAGCGGACGGCTGAGGCTGGCCCCTCTTCGGCCGCCCCTGGGGAGGGGACAGGAAGCACCAGACAGGTTTGGCAGTTACCTGGGGAGAGGAGGTTTTGCCCCCCTCGTGGGGTGTTTGTGAAAGTGAAAACAGCTCTGTGCTAATGACTTGCAGACTACCAGCGCGTCTCTCTCGCTGGAAATGGCTTTGGGATTGAGGCAAGACGTACTGCTGGAACTTAGTGCACCCTTGCCGAGTGCCCTCCACCCCCACCCCCTTTACTGAAGAGGAAGATCCAGGACAGATGTTGGGATGGCTTCCTCTGACATCACACTGGTTGCTTTTGCCACTTACTGCCAGACTCTCAGCCCCCTATAGAAATAGTGTTATGGTTTGTAAAGAAAATGCTTCGGCTGCAACCTAGCCAGCCCCCGTGCCCCAGATCCAGAAGCTGTTTTTAGGTTGGGTTCTAATTACGGCGGGGAGACCCTGCAGGTGAGTTGCCTTTAAATAGTCGTGGTGGTTCTTTTCCTTGCTTGCGGAAGTGTCCGGGTGCAGTGTGGAACATCTCATGCAGTCTTGAAGTCCTGCTGACATGTGTCCCTGTCTCTTCTTTCTTGGAAAACACTATGGACTCCAGTGAGTGCGCGTTTGATAGCCCTTTCACCTAACAGTCCCCGCCCCAGACTCCCGGCGGCGTTTGCTTTCCTCTAGTTGCCTCATTCCCCTACTGCATAATCATTCCCCTACTGCTTAGTGTTGCCTGTTGATTTTGATGTGCTTCTCTGCAGTTTTTGGCATATTTCAGTGTTGGGAAGAGGAGGTGCCTCCCCGCCCCCACCCGCAGGCTACATCAGAGCCTCCAGGATTCTCCGACTACAGAGAGGGACTCTGGAACTCAGGCAGTGTGTGTGTGACCAGTGGCATGTGGTTCACCCGTGTGCCCTATTGAACCGGAGCCTTAGCTCTGCCTATCTCTAAGTGGCTGTTCGCTGTTTTGCCATCAAAAGCAAGGAGACTTGGTTTTAATTTCCATGGCTTATTATATCTTTTCTTCTTGTTTACCCATCTTGGAAGGGATACTTTGAAAAGGTTTTTTAGATGTTTTTCTGGGCTTTAGTAAGTTGCCGGAAGAAATTCTGAGTGTTTGTAGTCTGATTTGTTAATTTTTGAGCCTTGTTTGTCAGTTGAGGGACAATTGAATATAACCAGGTGTTTCTTATACACAAATGGTGTTTTCTGCTGGCTGTCGTAGGGGTGACATGGAGGAATATGTAGTTGTTACTTTAAAGGGCCTCAGAGTTTCTTTGGGAAGAACAGACATAGAAGTGGCCCCTTAGTCTGCAGCGGTCTGTTGTAAGGAATGAGGCACCAGGAGGTGATTTTTGTCATCCTGTGAGCATCACGGTGTATTTAATCACGGTGTAGCTGGGTGACAGGGTTATGAGACCACCATTGTGCATATGATCTGTTATTCGCTAAAATGTTGTTACATGGAGCATGGCTGGCAAGTGGTTGAGGATGGACAATGCTCTTGTGACTTGAGAATTCAGAGAGAGGGCACTCACGTTGTGGAGCAGCAGGGTAAGCCACTGCCTGCCCTAACAGTTGGTTTGAGACTTACCGTTCCACTACTGAGCAGCCTTCTTGCTAACGTGCCTGAGAAGGCAGTACAAAGTGGTCCAAGTATTTACCCCTTGCCACTCCTGTGGAAGACGCAGATGGAATTCCTGACTTCAGACTAGTTCATCCTGGATGGTGTGGCCATTTAGGGAATGAATCAGGTGATGGAAGATTTCTCTTCTCCCTGTCTCTCCCTCTTTCTGTCACTGCATTTTAAATGAACGAATGAATGAATGAATAAATAAATAAGATGTTGGAGAGGGGTATGGTGGTATTATTGTGGTCATCCAAAGTGTGGCAGACAATGTGGGATTTAAATTGAGTCTTAAGGCCCGCTGAGGTAGCCTAGCAGCTAAAATCCTTGCCTTGCACACACCAGTATCCTATGTTGGCATTGGCTTGTGTCCCGGCTGCCCCATTTCCCATCCAGCTCTCTGCTTGTAGGCTGGGAAAGCAGTTGAGGACGGCCCAATTCCTTGGGATCACGTACCCGCATGGGAGACCTGGAAGAGGCTCTGGTCTCCTGGCTTTGGATCAGCACAGCTCTTGCAGTCACTTGGGGAGTGCACCATCGGATGGAAGTTCTTTCTCTCTGTATCTCCTCTGTATATCTGACTTTCCAATAAAAATAAATGATTTTTTAAAAAAATTGAGTCTTGAAGTCTAGATAGAATTCAGACTGAGAATACCAAAGATTGGGAGGCAGAAAAATGAAGGGAAAAGGATTTAGTAAATTTTTTAATAGATAAGTGAACTTCTATATATCATGTTTGTGTTGTATATTTATATATACATTGTGGAGTGGCTAAATCAAGCTACTTAATGTATCCATTAGCTCATAAGCATCATTTTTTAAAAAGATGTATTTTTTTAAAAGATTTATTTGTTTTTATTGCAAAGTCAGTTATACAGAGAGAAGGAGAGACAGAAAGGAAGATCTTCCGTCCGATGATTCACTCCCCAAGTGACCCTAACGGTCGATGGTTGGTATTGCGCCGATCCGAAGCCGGGAGCCAGGAGCTCTTCTGGGTCTCCCACACGGGTGCAGGGTCCCAAGGCTTTGGGCCGTTCTTGACTGCTTTCCCAGGCCACAAGCAGGGAGCTGAATGGGAAGCGGGGTGGCCAGGATTAGAACCGGCGCCCATATGGGATCCTGGTGTGTTCCAGGTGAGGACTTTAGCCGCTAGGCCACGCTGCTGGGCCCAGATGTATTTATTTTTATTGATAAGTCAGATTTACAGAGAGAAGGACATACAGAGAGACGGATCTTCCATCTGCTGGTTCACTCCCCAAGTGACCATAATGGCTAGAGCTGAGCCGATCCCAAGGCAGAAGGCAGAAGCGTCTTCTGGGCCTCCATTTTGGGTGCAGGATCCCAAAACCTGCTCTCCCAGGCCACAGGCAGGGAACTGGATGAGAAATGGAGCAACTAGGATACAAACCGGCCCCCACCTGGGATCCTGGCAATTGCAAGGTGAGGACTTCAGCCACTAGGCTACCATGCTGGGTCCACGAGCATCTTTGTTTTTTTGTGTGTGTGATGAGAACTCTTAAACTCTACTGTCTTAACAATATTAAAAAATACAATATCTTATTATATGTGGTTGTCATGTACAATAGTGAATCATTGCTGTTAGGCACTTTAGGGAAAAGGCACAGTGAGGTCAGGATTAGGTGAGTCAGTGAGTTTGGTCTTGTTTCATGGTCATTGTTATATACTTAATCTCATAAGAAAGAACAGGTTAGTAAATGGTTGGTTCAGTGCAAATCTATCTCTGCTACTGAAAAACCAGTTCTAACATTGATAAATTACTAATATCTCTGTGTACATACATGCATACACAAACACCAATGTTATTTCAATTTTTTTTTGTTGTTGTTTATTTTCGTTTTATTTGAAAGAGGGGCAGAAAGAGGAATAATAGATGGGTGGGCAAGGAGAGATCGTCCATCTTCTAATTTATTTCCCAAATGCCCAAAACTGCCATAACTGGATCAGACTAATGCTGGGGATCTGGCATCCTCTGTGGGTCTGCTAGGTGGGTGCCAGGGACCCCAGAACTTGGCTCCTCACCTATTGCCTCTCAGGATATACCTTACCAGGAAGGTAGAATTCGAAGTGGAGCTGGGGGGCCCTGTGAGGTAGCCTAATGGCTAAAGTTCTTCCCCTGCATGCCAATTTGTATCCTAGCTGCTCCGCTTTCCATCTAGCTCCCTGTTTGTCACCTGGGAAAGCAGGTGTGGGAGACCTGGAAGAGTCTTCTGGCTCCTGGCTTTGGATTTGCTCAGTTCTGATTGTTGCGGTTATTGGGGAGTGAACCAGCAGATGGAAGATCTTCTTCCCTGTTTCTCCTTCTCTTTGTAAATCTGACTTTCCAATAAAAATAAATACATCTTAAAAAAAAAAAACAAGTGAAGCTGGGAGTGCCTCTAGGTACCCCGCTCTGGGCTGAGCGTTCCAAGTGCTGTGCATAGTGCATGATGTGGGAGATGGTCTCCCTGTAAGCCCAGAGCGTGATGCAGGCATGCATCGTTTTTCCAATTTGTTGACTGCTATGGAAAATCTGGGTGTGTTTCTCAGGATAGCCAGGCCCAGTTTGCCATGAATGAAGGTTTTCTTCGTCTCATTTTAGTTTGTGTCTGAAGAGGATTCTAATTCTTGTGTGATAGTTAGATATTAGCAGCTCTCACTCGTGAGTATAATCTTCCCCACCAAACATCAAACATCAGAGATGGGGTGCTGTGCTTACCCGAGTTTTCTTTTTTTAATTAAAAAAAAAAACTTTAATCAGAGACAGGAAGAGGGAAGAGAATGAATGGAGGAAGGGAGAGAGTGAGAGAAAAAAAAAAGAATGAGTAGGGAGAGATAGAGAAACAGTAGGGGAGAGACAGAAGAAAAGGCTAGAGAGAGGCGTGTGAGAG